CTGCCAATACGACCTTCAGTGCGGAATATATCGGAGGTGATGGGAAAGATAGTGGGCTTTGCAAGTTTGCATGCCAGCGTGGCTATTGTCCGGATGTTTGTGCAAGTACCGAAGGCGTGATCGCCTCCTGCACGGACGATGATGACCGCCCCGAGTGCGCTGAAGAGCTTCCTTGCGACTATAGCCTGACATTCAATTCGTTGGAGGCCTTGGAGAAGGCCTCCAGCGACATACCCAAGGGCTGCATGCCAATGTATGCGGCGCAGGTCCTCATGGACACGCTGGACACAGCGCTGGCAAACTACACCGACGTCGACAATGGCTACGATGACAAGTTCGGGTACTACGTCAAATACCTCCGCGCCATGGTCCCCGGTGCTATCTCCAAATTCGTATCGCTGAACAAAGGTGAGGGGCCAGGTAACAAGTATTTCCAGTGCAGGTGGGCCATGCCAGGCAAGGAGAAAGGGGAGTACCAGAGCTGTCCAATCATCAACACATCTGAGCAAGTGTACATTGAGTATAAGTTGATCGACGAGGATGGTTTCTTCAAGGAACTCCAGAGCAAGTACGGCATCTCAAAAGACTGGGTCGAATTCAAAACCTACCACCGTGAAGTACCCGCATGTCCTCCTTTCACAGGAATAGGACCGCCTCCGATCTGCACCCATCCCCATTTCCAGTACGAAAACTTCCCCATGGCTAAAGAGGACTTCACTATCCCCAATCCCAAGGACTCAATCAAGAACGCGCTGCCCCGTTTCCAGCAGCTCCAGCTTGACCTAGCAGCCACATGGGGCGACCTCTCTTTCTTCCTCTGGGACGGCGACGATGACGACGCTGTGGCTGCCCTGTCCATGCCAGTGTTCATGCTCCTGCAAGCCGTTGACTCCATGGCGACAGTGAAGCAGATCGGCGAAGAAGAAAAGGAGCACGAGGAAGAGGCGAAGCGTAATCTGATCCTCCTCATCCTCTCCGCGGTCCTACTTATCCTACCATTTGCCGCAGAGGTCGTTGGAGCCGTGACGGGCATCGCCTGGATCGCAGATGCCGCCACAATTGCGGACGTCAGTGCCAGTATTGCGCTAGCGGGCTATGACATTGTGAAAGATCCAAAGTCGGCACCCATGGAGCTCCTGAATATCCTGTTCGCTGGTTCGGGGCGCACCGCGAAGAATTTCTCCAAGGCTGCGGACGTTCGTCGCGGCATCAAGGTGGGCGAGCTGGCCAAGTTTGGGTCTGTTTTTAAGGAACATGATGAAGCTTTGCAGAGTCTTATCCGGTTTTGTAAGAAGTGATCATGGCCTTATACGATTATACTCCTTTTGATGTTTGGTCCTGGATGGTGAAAAGCGAGTCTGTAGCCGGAAATAAAAATAAAATAAGTTTATTCAATCTTAGTCTACAGAGATCGAAGAACCAACATAATGAGCTTCCACAAAATAAGTCACCAAGCATTCCTTCGGCTACTAATAAATACCCCTGGGAGCACATTCCCATCATTCCTTTTCTCGATCTTATTTCCCCCGAATTCCTCTCTTCAAAGACAAAAAGCCGTAGTCCTTTTACCTCAATTATCCCTCTCAGCAACACACAGATTTCCATCACCCATGCACTAACCCACTGTGAGCATGGCTACAACAACTTATCATCCAAGCTTAGCTGTTCCCCTACCTGGGCCTGAGGAAAACAAGTTATATTGGGAGAATATCGGGAGGGCATATTTCCCGGTTGGCGCACAGTACAGGAACTATGTGCAAGGCCGATTTGCCCAAAGAGGAGCTGGTGGTATGTACGAGAGGGTACATGTGTGTTATGTTGGTCTTTTACCTCCTTTCTAAGATGCTTTGGTTGCTTCGTTGCTGTAGTCGGGCACTGTCAGCTTTTGCGATTTCTTGGTAGTTAGGGCGTATATATATCCGTGCCCCAACTCTCTTCTTGTGCTGGTTGGTTTACTGATCCTTGTCGGTCTTGCTGGATTCTGGGGTTATTACTAGTAGTAGGGGTATTAATATAATATAATCAAGACTATAATCTTTGGTTCTGTAAATTAGAGCTTCGTGAATATTAAGTAATTTATGCAGAACTCCCCTTGGCACTCGTCAGGATTCTATGAACCGCCACCCAGATGACGGGGAGAGAGCTACTAGTGCTACTAGGTTACCTCCCAACGTTCATGGATAATATCCTATCCTCCTACTTATACGTGCCTAGCTCTCTACAAGATCATTGCAATTGTTCAAGCAAATCCAGGTGCAGAATAAAGGTGTATATTGTATCCCAGGCCCGTCCCAACCACCCGACCTTAGGGCCTGAACCCTCGATATGATATCGAGATGCAGTAGTAAATAGCTCAATGAGGCGGTCTGATATAATCCGTCCTCTGACATACATGAATGATATATTATAACATGATAAGAGAGTAAAGGGTATCAAAGAGATGTGTCCCGTGCCCATGCAAATGTGCAACGAGGAGACCATTGCCGTCCTCAACGGTATAAAGAGAAATGGAAAGTCGATGCAAATGACCAAGGGGTATCTTCCAACAATGCCAGCATTCATAAAAAAAAAAAAAAAATCATATAATGTCGTTATATAACTCCCAAATTTCCAAGCTCCAAGCACAGCCCATATCCTCCGCCGCTGCAACCCCGAGTCAGATTAGGGAGCCAGCTTGTCCGTCGGGGGACGGTGGTCATGCATCCTACGGATACCACAATCACCAGTATTGACACCCCGGACTGTCGACAAGAGGCTGGACTCGGGGCTGCAGCACTCAATAGCCCGAACCCAGGGATCCTCCAACGCTTCGAAGACGGTCATTCGCCTTTCCGGAAACGGGTGCAGCATCCGGAGGAGCAGGGTGGCAAGCTCCTTCTCCCGAAATAGGGCGGCAAAAGGTGCAAGTGGGAAGTTGTCTGCCGTCACAGGTACTTCGGGGTACTCTTCGAGGAGGTACTGCCAGCTTCCCTGGAAGGCCATGTAGTCGTCGTCTTCGTCATTGGCGAGGTCCCAGGGTAATCTGCCGGCGAATAGGACGAATGCGGTTATGGCGCAGCTCCACACATCGAGGGCTCGGGCGTCGTAGTAGTCTATAAAGAAATCAGTATGAAGATATCTCAGTGCGTTGAAAAAGGAAGAGTGGGTACATACCGCTGCACTCAAGTATCTCGGGCGAAAGGTAAGAATACGTGCCGCGGAGCCGAGCAGGGAAGCTGCGGACTGGGCCAAGTTCCCTCTCCCCTTGGCTGTTGGGAAGGAGGAAGTCCGCAAAGACCTCGGAGAGCCCAAAGTCGATAAGCTTGAGGGAGCTGTCATCGGCCAGGACCATGTTCTCCGGTTTAATATCGTGGTGTGCGATACCATGGCTATGCATGTATGCAACACCCCTGAGCATCTGTTTAAAGAGGCACTTTTTGTCCCCATGGCGAAGAGTTTTCTTGTTAATCAAGTCACACAGATCGCCATGGGGACAGTACTCCATGACAAATGCCAGGCGACGCTTGTATTTGCAGAGGCTGACAACCTCGACGATATTCGGATGATGGAGCCCCCTGGCGATGTTGAACTCCTTCCGAGCCCGGTCCCTATAGAACAAGATGGGCTCTCCTTCCTCCTTGTCGAGGAACTTGGCCGCGTACTGTACCCGCGTGCCCTGCTCTTTCCTGTGCACGATCTTGACTTTGGCGAAGCTACCCTCGCCGACGGTATCATTTGTTACCTCAAACTCCTTGTGGAGCTTTTGGATTATGCATGTTTCCGTCTTCTCGGGTGACGGTGACCGGGTTTTGGTGGAGCTGCTTGAGCAGCGTCGCTTTTCCACCTTGTCTTGGATGTTGAGGTGTGCCATTGTTATGGGCACTTGAGGGGTATGTCGAGGTGTTTCAGGATAGTAGCAAGCGTCGGTTGCTTGATACTCGAGGGGACTGTGGTATACTCACGTATACCAAGTTAGAAGTGATATATAAAGCAAGCTTGATAGGTGAGCTAGCTGGTAGTTTCAAAAGGGGACAACGAGATGAGTGTAGTTGAGAAGATGCAGGAGAGGGAACAGACATGCCAGGCTATCATACTGAGTGCCTGGCGAAGAATTATCTCATAGTTGCGACTACTATACTGAATGACTATATAGATAGGGTTCCATGGATTGGCCGTATGGAGTCATCTCGATAACCCCACGATCTCCCCAGGTTTTATAGCAAGCCATGGTTGGCGCGTATGGGAGATTGAAATACTCAAGGAGCAGATTTGTCGGTGCTCTACGCAGCCCAATCCCGAATATAACAGTACTCAATAATATCGAGAAAGATGGGGAGTTTGGCGTAGGGGGAATAGAGCCTAGGGTTGAAGGAAGAGTCATGGTGAAGTATACAATCTATTCCCTCAACAAATGAATGGCAGGTCATATGGTAATTTACGAAATATTTTGTGTCAGAGTCAAAATTTCATAGAAGAAAGACTAGCCGATGAACGTTCCCTATAGGGTAACTATGATGGTTGAATAACTGACGTCTGCATTACTTGAAGGCTGCTCTGCCTCTACATCCATACACATTCAATACCAATTCTCCAAGAGACCTCTAGACCATGGCAGGACATGCGAAAAGAATGTAAAAAAAAAAACCCTTGACACGGTAAGACTTGCCTTAACTTCCCGAGTACGACAAGAGGAGCCGAAGATACTAGGGGACAAGAACGGTAGGCCTGTACTTATTGTCTCGATTCCAGCGAGAATTTCCTGGTTGCAACGTAATCGAACCATAGTGTCAGAGCTTCGTAAGAGCCTGCTGATCTTGAAAGCATCTCACATGCTATAGTGGCATGGGTAGGCTCGAGAAGGCTATACACGTGGGACTTGGAAGTCTATATCCCAGCTCTTGAAGTTCAGACTGCAATATGAGCCCTAGGCTAGCCAGGTCGTGAGTCCTCTTCGGCGTGTCTGGGTGCTGGGGTTTAAGCAGTATGTTCTCGAGAGCATCAATGACTCCGGTGTCTCGGTCTGAAAACTTTGACTGAAAACTTTGACCGGGGATGGTACAGTGGTGGTGCAAAAGTATATGACCTCCTATGCTTTAAGGTACCAAGCGGCTCAGGCGGTAGATACCTTTAAGTCCAAGAGGTCGCATACTTTTTGACCCCCACTGTCATGGGTGTGCCTGATGCGGCCAAACGCTTGCATCAGAGTGAGCCAACCGTAAAGGCATCAAGTGAATAGTGCGTCTCGACTACGTCGGACTTCTCAAAAGTCTTGAACACCAGTCTCTCCTTGTAGTCTCGATCTGACGTCACCGCCACTTATACCTTCAACGATCCATTCGGGTTCTTCATCGTCGAAGTATCGCTCTTGCTCTTCGTTCCAGTCATCATAATCATCGTTCTCGTCAACAGTAGCATAGTCAAAGTCGTGGTCTTCGCCCCTTATAAATCGCAGTCCCATCTCCCATTGCCAGATCTTTTCGCCTTCTTCCTTGCTCGTCGGAATCTCATCTTTGTCCTCCGCGAGGATTTCCCCGTTTGGGCCACGGCTATAGCTAAACATTGCATTGGGATCCGGATGCGACAGGGCTTCCATCTTGGCCTCGGAACGATAAAGATCTGCTTGAAGTATGCCTGAGAATCCTTTGGCTCGCCCTTCAGCCTCTCGTTCCGCCGGTGTCTGGAATCGGCGGATCAAGCGATCGTACAGCAACGGGTCTACAACGCTAGAGTGTTAGCTTTGGTCATCTTTTCCCGACTGCGATAGCAAATGCGATCAGTCGTGGAAAAGAAAGGAAAGAGCGAGCGGACCGGCTAGCTCGAGATCAGCAGAGAAATACTCCGGATGGGTATCCAGGTAGCGTTTCCGACGATTCTTGACCAGCGTCGCGGGGGACAGTGGCATTACGCCGGACGTGGGGTTTGTGTCATTCTCTGCTTGAACTCCAGTACCCATTGGGAAAAAAGGCATCTTTTAACGGTTGACTGGGGGAGGGGCAGTATGATTGATTGTACAAAATTCGCAGTGGATGAAGTTGGAGAGGTGGACGGAAATGACAAGCGGTGGCGGTTTCATGCAGAGCTCCATTCAGCCTAAACTGTTTTGGGCCGGAGGACTGCGGCAAATTTCGTCCAAGAATCAAATAAATGATATAAATCTCCGCCGTGGCCTTTCAATCAACGAATAACAGTTCGCCTTGGCCGGACTATGGACTTTGGGCTTTCTACCTGAAGAAGTATAGGTGAGAACCACCTCCTGTTTGTTTCACATCGCGCGTTGGGAGTTGGCTCGTTCACAACCGCCATCCCCTACGCGCTCCTCTTCCCCTACCCACTGACTCGACATGCATTGAACCTACCAGTTAACCAACGCTTTCAGTGAAGCCTCCCCAGACCAAGTCCCCAGCGTTTCTGCGCATATTTTAGGCCAGAAGCAGTAGTCTGTGGAGGTCCGACGCCATGCCGTCTTTCGAAGAAATTATTCAGCAGGTCAACTCGAGAAGACTGTGGCGAGGCGCGGCATTGTTGGCCCTCGCCGCTTTCTCGTCGCCTGTGTTTGTGCTGACCCTGGCTCCGGTGTACGGCTCTGCTCCGTCGCATATCTTCCACGGCTATGGAGTTGCCATTACTGCGGCGCTGGGGTGGTTTCTCAAGGATGTTATTCAGCAGTTAACGAACCGCCGGGCTGTGTATCTACTCCCTGTCGTCGCATTCTGGTACCCCACCATCCAGTACTTTTTGTTCCAGCAGAGCTCCTCGTTTGGGAACCCTACCGGCGCCGTGATCACTGAGGTGGTTGCCTTCTATCCTTTTGTTTTGCTCTCCGTTGCCTGTGCCGCCAAGTTGGTGCAAGCTGGCCTTAACCTTGAACGCTATGGTGATCTTGCTAAAGAGCATATCCCCCTCATTGGCTCGTATGTCATTTATTCTTTCTCGGAGAAGCTTGCGAAATCATTCATTGCGAGGTTTATCGGTTCATTCTGGCTTTTCTCAAGCACGGGCCTTCAGCTATTGGTGGCAATCTTGTGTTCTGCCGTCGTTCCATCTAAGTGGCTCCTCTTGGCCATTCCCTCTATCCTCTTCACACTCACCTCCAATGTGCACCTGCCTTTGGGAATGACAACATCGGGGCTCAGGTCCGCGCTTAATGAGGAGGGATTTGCACTCGTGGATCGGCAGGAGTCCTCAACCGGGTATATATCGGTTTTGGATAGCCTGGAGGATGGCTTCCGGGTGATGCGATGTGACCATAGCCTTCTCGGGGGCCAGTGGACCAAGACCTATCGCAACTACAAACCCAAGGTTCAGGACCCGATTTATGCAGTCTTCTCTTTGCTCGAGGCCGTCCGGCTGGCGGAAACGGACCACGGAGCTCACCGAGTAGACGCAGACAGCAAGGCACTTGTCATGTGAGTCAAAACTTAACTCTCCTACGTGGTCAAGCTAACTGTAACTCAGTGGACTTGGAGTCGGCACTACACCTGCTGCACTCATCACTCATGGAATCGAAACCACCATTGTCGAGATTGACCCTGTCGTCCACAAGTTCGCCAGCAAATACTTCCACCTCCCGTCTAACCACATTGCAGCCATCGAAGACGCCACGCTGTTCGTTGACCGCGCTTTGAAATCTCCCAACCCCACCCAATATGACTACATTGTCCACGATGTGTTCACTGGCGGCGCGGAACCAATCGAGCTCTTCTCCATTGAGTTCCTCGAGGGTCTTAACTCTCTCCTTAAGCAAGACGGTATTATCGCAATGGTACGTTCATACTGAATTACCTCGCCAGCCTCATACTAACCCTGGACAGAACTACGCTGGTGACCTCTCTCTTTACCCGGCCGCTCTCACCGTCCGTACCATCCAAGCAGTGTTCCCGTCTTGTCGGTTCTTCCGTGAAGATTCAGGCGAAGAGGGCAATGCAGATTTCACGAACATGGTCGTTTTCTGTAAGAAGGATTCTGCTACTCCTCTGCGTTTCAGGGATGCTGTCCCTGCCGACTTCCTAGACAGCAAGTTCCGTGAAACATACCTCGTGCCCAAGCATGAGATTGATCCGGCTATCTTCACCACCGTTACCGGTGGACAGCCTGTCCTGAGGGCCAAGGACACCGGTAGGCTATATAGGTGGCAGGACCAGGGTGCTCTGGAGCACTGGGGTATCATGAGGAAGGTTCTGCCAGATGCTGTGTGGGAGAATTGGTAGGGGTTGTTCATTGTATCATATATAGCTTTACTGTATAGTATCAACTGCCCGGCGTGGGCTCGTTCTGCCTTCTCATGGCTTTTTGAATAGGATAATTGAAATGCTATTTGTTTTGTTTGACGGTTAGATTATCGAGACTCAGATCGCACAACGTGGGTAGATGTATGCACGCCGATCCATGTGCCCACTCCTTGGTAGTAGAGCAGGCAGGGGCCGAGTTCTAGCGAGGAACAACGAGCGAGAAAAAAAAAAAATCATCGGGAAGTATAAACAAAATGCAAAAAGAGATGGAGATGCGGGGAATTGAACCCCGGACCTTTCACATGCTAAGCGAACATTATACCACTAAACCACATCCCCAATTCGATGTAAGATAGTTCTCACAAAGGCTACATAAGCAAATTCTTATTTTCATGCTCAGAATCCATAGTCATTGGCCTTGAAGCCGGTCATATCTTTGTGGCTGATAGTGGTTTCTCTTGTTGCATATGTGAGATGTATCAGTATATATAACTCATCCTTAGTCAATAGTATGGCATGAGCCTACTGCGAACTGTCCCTTGTGTAGTTGTTGGTTGCGCATCAATTCAGTATATGTATCTACGTAGCGTCTACATTTCTCTCTGGATATATATAGCCAAAATCCTCAACAAATACATCGCCACCTGAACCCCACAACTGAATATATGCATCGCCCTAGCGCCATAGCGCCAAAGGGCCACCAGATACCACTCATACTCAATCTGTAAACGATCCCAAGATGCATTCAGCAAAGAGAGCCGCGATCGCCAACCCACAGATAGCCTCCATCCTCAACCCTAACCCGACCCCAACACAAGACGTCGAGTCAACAGAGCTACGGAGAGCAAGGGAGACTGGAGACTGAATGCATACAAAATAAACATATCACAGCCTGTATCGACCAGAACGGATGCACTGCAAAGCGTTACTTCCACCTTACTGCATGATTGGTCTCCTTCCAACACAGCATGTAGCACGGATGGAGATGTCCGCAGTCAATACCCGAATGTAGAAAGGCTCAACGCACATGCTATCTCTAGAATCCACAGACGAGGAATATATCATACAGCACCATGGAATCAAACGAACTAACCCAAGGAACCGGCGATCCCACGTATCTGGAAGCCAATATAGTGGATCAGATCTGCCAACGAAAGCCGTGGATGTCAGTTCTACTTATCTTAACCTGGCCAAACTGGTTGAGACACTTCTAGTGCGCCAGCTGGTTTTTTCTCTTCAAGGATTCCCGTAGTTATTTGGTATGTGCCGTAATACATCTATTCGTAATCCTACTCATACTGAATGATATACTTAGGATAAAGCGGCGGCTCTAAGCTACATAAGGCATAGCGTGGTCAGTGCTTATCGTACACTAGTAAAGCATTATAATGGTCCTGTATTCCAACCAATTGGGGATGTGGTTTAGTGGTATAATGTTCGCTTAGCATGTGAAAGGTCCGGGGTTCAATTCCCCGCATCTCCATCTCTTTTTGCCCTTCATACCTTCGTTCCTTTTTTATACAGTTTAGACATCTATGATGTCCCTCGAAATTCCAGCACTGTTCAGTGTGGCCCTGGGTCTAGCTGCCAAAATCGCAGAAGGTCCGTCCGAACTACAAACGTCCAATGACAGGACCCATACCGCCCATCTACAACTATACTTGATTCACTACCTAGAACAAGTAACATACCAAGGACCAGACAATTGGTGCCTTTGGTATATCTTTAGTACTGGGGACGAGTTGTTTGCAGAGAAGATATGTTTGGATCCAAAATATGAATACCGACATGGGCTTGCGCCTGCGTATACATCGAGATGTGATATCTGCTTGCCTTGGATGCCGCGTTAAGTGATCTATAGGGAGGAGGTTGGGTAGTAGGCTTAGGGTGCATTTGCAGGTCCAAGCAGGGCAGTGTGGTAGCCTAGTTGCTAGATTTGGGAAGAGTCACTATTAAATGTACATGATATGCGTATGTATATAGGTATCAAAGGGTATAATCTACACAAGTCGCCTAAAGCAAGAGACTTCCGATAAAGATAAGACATAGAAGGTAGCAGATCACTCAACTGAATGGAGGCGGATCTCCTCATCTGGAATGTCATCCGATGGGACGTTTTTGTAAGGCTGTGTTCTCCGACGGCGGATCAAGAGATAGATACTGGCCGCGATACCACTTACTATACCGCAAAGTACGATGAGGACGAAAATACCACTGACGTTTCGAACGAGATCGTACGTTTCTTGCGCCAGCTGGGCAATCTGCTTCACATCTGCATCATCCGCGTGCGGGAATTGCAAGTTGTTGTTTTTGTTTATGTTATCGGCCTCTTCGTCACCAATGGTTTGCCCATTAGCGTTCGATTTGGGGGCCTTGGGGTCATCTGGTTTAAGGGTCTTGAGATCGCCTTTGAACCCAGCCGCGGCCCAGTTATCGGGGATCTTGCTCCTCTGGACCCGAGAAGCACCCAGAACTCGGCCTTCGCGATCAACCGCTTCCGCGGTCACCCAGTCCAGGTATCCGCGGGCGATGAACATCGTCTCAAAATCGGTCTTGGTGGCGTTTCCGACAAGGATAGGGTGACCATTCTTCGCAGCCCGCGCGTAGAAGTTCCACCCAGCAATATCGGTGGCGCCATTCCAACTGACATAGAAAGTCGTCGAGAGATCTGTCTGATCCGTGCCCCACACAGAGGCAACCAGGTCAGGAGGTGCACTGGGGCGGCCTGTGAACTCAAACTTGTATGCCCGATAGGTCGAGTAGCGCGAGGAAGCAAAGTTTGCGGTCAGCAAAGTGTCGCCTTCGGGTGAGAACTCGGAAATATAGCCCCTCTCACTCCATCCAACAAACACGTTATTGTTTGGGAGCAGCTGAGTATTGCCACGGAGTCGGGTGAGGCCGCCATCGGGGCGGTTATAGCGTCGGATAACTTTAGCAGTTTTCGGGGATGTGCTGGTATCTAGCTCGATGAAAAGAGCCGATGAGACATCCTCGTCGTTGCTTAATTCATCAGAGGCATTGTTCAGGAGTGAAATCACATGGTGCGTCCCATTAGACTCAATGAATTTTGCATCGTGCTGCTTGGAGAATGTGAAGTCTTGTTCAAAGTCAGTGTACTGCCCGCCCAGCCGCCACATAATATTCCCATCCTTGCCGGAAACCATGTAAATCGTATTGGTAAACCGATAGGAGATAATATAGTCGCCATCGTCGTTCCTGTCGATTGAGTTCAGGTGGACATAGTCCCATCCTGGTGGCCCCGCGGGAGGGGTCTCCTGGTTGATAGTGACCGATTCACTTAGGGCAACTTTGTCGACGCCATCCCAAACATAATTGATCTTTTCCGAGCTCAAATCTATTTGGACAAATCCGCCTGACAAGACATAGGTATGTTCACCAGGACGGTCTTGCGTGTCCAGGGCGATTTCATGTTCTCGATACGTGATGGCCATGGCCGTTTTGCCATCGTCGAGGATATTGAATTCGTGTATATCAAAGGCACCGTACTCCTCTGGCATAGGAACTTTCTTTTGGATGTCATAGGCATTGTCTAGTACGACGCCATATCCATTATCCGAGTGATCGTAGGCGATTTGCCAGACCAATGAGAGGTGTGGTTCGTCACCAATGCTATTGACTACCTTGAAATCGAAGACGTTGCGGTTATCAAACATGGGCGAGCCAGCCCAGATGAGCATCTATTGCGCATGGGAATCGGTTAGTCGTGGTTTCTGGGAGGATTGCGGGGTGTGGGACGTAGGGACTTCGCAAGTGAGACATACCCCATCGGCATCATAAATATAGGGTCCGATCTGGTATGGCTTGTATTTTTGCGACGGTGGTTCTGGGGCGATGTTTCCATACGGCGCAACGAACCAGTAGCCCGGGCTGACGCGATCGCGATCTTTGTAATACACTTCATATTTTAACGCCCTGACACCCGGGAGCTAGACGGGGGTTCCTTTTGTTTTAGCACAGTTGCTGGCATTGTAGATAATTTAAGCATACCGTCACAAAGGACATTAAGTCGTCATCGGCGCTAGATTGTGCAAATGTCGTAAGCACCAATTGGAGCAGTGCAACAATGAGGAAAATCATTCTTTCATGGGTAGGGAACTAGACAGATTATAGAGAGGGAGATCTGGCCTGTAGGAAAAGACAAAAAGAAAGCAGCATGAAGTAAGAAAGAATGGATTACAACCCGGTAAAATCAAATAAAAGAGCGTGAAGGTGAAAAAATCAAGATTAGCTGCTTCATGAATTGTTAGTGACAAGCAGGGAGTCCAGCACCCCAGGCTCTCTCTATGTACAGGGGGGGAATGGGAAATAAGTTGGTCAAGTGGGCAAGGATTACGTTCAACTGGGGAGGACTTAGTATCAATCTAGTGGACGTTTGCCCCCATGAACGGTGCAATGAAACGGCACGGGGCCCCGCCTGGCAGTCCATTTTAAATCCCTGTTGGTCATAGTCCATCGCTCCGTGAGGAAGCGCCGCAGCCCTGCGAGCTGTGAGTTGTTAAGCTGGAACGCTTGGTGGGTCGGTGGCTTCTCGGCATTGGCCTGGTATACGTAAAGATTGTCCATCCACCCGGATATCGGAGTAAAATCTACCGTGTTGTGTTTCAAGTCCCGCGGTCTTATTCTTCCCCTGTGGTCTTGGGACTCTTGGAGACGTGTACCTGCAGATCGAACAAGTTGCTGCGTTAGAAAGTTTGGTCTGTCGGCGTTTTACTGGAGGAACTATAAGTAAAACCTATGTTCTCCGAGGTTTGAAACCGCTAGGAACTCCACGGCGATCATTGTTTCTCATGTACTTTGTGGAGTTGTTCTAACCCACGCAAAGACTGCTTTGATTTCATCTTCAGACTCTTATAAGATAAACACGACAATACAAGGGCTATGCCATTGACACCTTGTAGTATCTTAAGTATGAGCGGTATGTTGCTACTTGATATTGGAACCAAACCACGTGGTTGCAGGTTCACTTCGACCGTTAAGCCGGACCCATTTTTTACAGTACTGTGCAACCTGACACATGATGCCTTATCAGGCAGCATACAATCATGTGACTGCTAACTGCACTATTTCCTATGATTACCAACATTCAAGTTGAGTAAATTGTATACATATTACATTACCGCTTCATTTGTTAAATATCTTGTGGTTCTTCCGTAAAATAAGTACCTATTAATACTTCTTAATACAAGAAATTGGAATACAGCCCTACCAGATTGAGTTTATATAGCCAGATGACCCGTTTTGCTTTTTGGATTAGCTCAACCCCTGAATTGTCAGACACTTGAGTTTTTAAAGTTAGTTGTGACTCATTTAAGATTTAGAGCAGCTATCTTTCAACCAATTGGGGATGTGGTTTAGTGGTATAATGTTCGCTTAGCATGTGAAAGGTCCGGGGTTCAATTCCCCGCATCTCCATCTTTTTTGCCTATGTCTCTTTTCTGCTCAGTGACAAGATACCTATAGACTTTATAGTGATTGGATCTGATTTTTTTTTTAGCCTTCGCCTTAATTTCAAGTACATACAATGTGGAGAGCGGCTATCGTACATAAGGAGTTTAAATGCTTGAAATACAGAGTAGGTCTGTGTCTATTAGGTGCTGGGGCTTTTCCAAGACATAAAAACAATCTCGCAGACCCGATAAACTCAGCATGCTACGATGGCACTGATGCAGGGATCATCCCGGCTGCTACTACAACAGTCGATTGTCATTGACGCTGCAGAGTTTAAATGCGTAATGCCGATACATGATCGTTATATTCTACACTTAACCCGGGCAAAGATTGGAACAGTCCGTTTGGTCAAGAAGATCGAGTAATTCCCATTATGGGCGTGTAGTTGCAGAGGATATATCGTCCAGTTGAAATACAGATAGTCCACAGGGGACCAAGAGAAATAGTCTTATGGGGAATCCGCCGCCGTCTCTCCGACTCCTAACCCAGCCTAAAGCCATTCCGGTATCAAAAAACAGTGACAATGAGTGTCGCTAAGCCGATATCCTCGATGTCGGGAGTATGTACGGTGTGCGAGGGTAAATAAAAGTACAATCCAAAAAACACCAGTGGAAAGGCAGGAGATTATGCCGACGGACTCCCGCGAGGGCTACCGCCAGGCTTCTTGACCAAGCCTGCAAAGAAGTTTGCCAGTGCTTGATTGTGCGATTTCTCGCCAGAGGGTGCCGAAAGGGTATCCTTTCTCTGGGATCGATTGGCTTCCCTCTCCTATATTAATTAGATGGTCAGCGACACGGCTTCGAACAAGACAAGCGGCCGCTGGAGTCGTCACTCACCTTAAGTTTCCTTAGCATATCATCAGCATCCACTTGAATTCCTCCCATATTGAATTGGACAGGCCCGATGTGCTCATTTACTCGGCCATTATCATCTAGCGGTGACATCTCAAGCTGGGGCACTGGTTTAGCTGTGCGATCCTTCTCATCTTCAAGTTTTAACTGTTCTAGAACCTCCAACTGCTTCCCGAGGAAGCTTTGCATGTCGAATGTGTCGACCTCAACCTTGTTTTTGCTATGTTGACTGCCAGGATGCGTCATGGATGCGTCTAGTTTGGGGTCTTTGATCGTCTGTTCGAAGATAGCCACGGCGCTTGTTCCATCATCCAGGCCGGCTACATCTTCGCCTTGAGACGACTTATCACCATCCACGGGCGAACCAGAGAGCGGTTCTGGCGGATCCTGAATTTCAATCGACCATGCTGTTGAGACTCCTTCCATATCAAAACCTTCCCTGATAATTCGAATCTTTCCCCACGAGTCCCAGTTTGAAGGTACTAGGATCTTATCGCGATCAATCACGTTGTGCTTGAGGGACTGTCTCTTCAGGAGCGAATGTATACCGAGCGACGAATGTAACAAGCCCTGCAGCGAGTTGGCCAGAAAAGGTGTCGTATAGATAAGTGATGCGCCATCTGCTAGTAATCAGAGAGCCGCTCTAGACCATAGGAGGCACGCAAGGCCCACAAAGAAACTCACGTTTAAGAAGAATTGTTCTCATGAACTGGAGGATGAAATCGAATTGCTCCTCGTGCCAGCCATGGTCCTTCTCCAATTTCTCGATCTTATCAGCCTGCAACATTTGATTAATAAATGATCTCCTCAAATGATGCTGTTTCGCATGTATGGTGTTCCGGGCTTTACATACTCCCTGACAGACCACACACATAGGAATTCCTAGCCCCTCATCCCATTCGCCGGGCCCTAAAGGTATCGTCACCGGCCCCCCCGAGCTGGTCAATCCTTGTGCCGCTGTTGAACCGGGGTCTATTCCCCTCTTTCGATCTCTCCACTCTGTCATAGTTTCTTCCATTACAATTTTTGTCTCATCATCTAGAGAAATGAGCACGTGTCGCAAAAGACGGACCCATTCCCTTAGCCGCCGGACCCATGTCCAAGGGTCCGACCAGTCTAGTAGGATCACGACCAGCGTCTCCGGGACAGATTGGGCGGTCAAAAGCGGTTTGAGGAGGGGCGCAAAAGATAGGGAGGGTTCGGAAAGGAGATAGGCAGAGACGCGCGCCAAAGTATCTTTTAAACTACATATTAGCCCGATTCAAACGCACGAATGCCCTTGAAGATGTGTAGGTATGGCCGTATTTACCTTCTTGGTCTGCATCTAGAACATCTTGGTATGTGTATCCTAAAGCGAACTGATTGGCAACCGGGGGTACCCTTCCCTTCCGCCTGTCGTTTGATAAGCTGGGGTCTGATGTGTCCGCCGACAATGTGTCTAAAAACTCTCTTTGGCTCTCGGGAGTACCTCCTGGAAAGCAGAATATATCTGATTAGCGACATACAGGACCATTTTGTACCAGTCGGGGAAGTCGAGGCTGTATACCTAGGATGAGAAGATTCTTTTCCGGCAAGCGCTTTCCGTTGGCGACGCTATCTAACATAGAAGACCAGATATTCTTCTTTGGGCCATCCTTGCTCGAGGGTCGACTGTTGTTTCCCGACCCGAGCTTGGGCCCGGAATTATGACTTGAGGTGAACATTGTCTGTCCAGTGTCGACTGTATTTAGCGGGCGCGGACCATCCCAAGCGGCCGCCAGACAGTCCTGTCAATATTCGGACGAATTTAACGCGTGGACCGCGAACTGTCGAGGTCGGTGAAATAATGGAACAGCGGTCGGAACAGTGTCAGGGGATATGGATCTGGTGTCGGTATACTCTATGAGCTGTTCAGACAGGATCGTAGACAAGATCTTTTCCCGTTAAGGGAAGTCTTCAATATCTCCAGTAGCCGCCTATGAGGATGTTGAAATTTCCAAGGGTGTCGCGAGGAAGAGTTGTTCCGTAGAGGGGGAAATTACAAGTTATTTCGTTGTAAACAATAGTTGCAAGTCTCGCCGTTCTTGCGGGTGGGACCTCCTGCGGAGGCCGCCCGTGATTGATCTCTTTGCAGCTTAGTCCCGTTCTCCGAGCCGTAGTAGCTATCTATCTTTTGCGCCAAAAAGATCTACCCCAGCGCGTTCAGCTGGATACAGATCAACTATCCTTCCGAAAGCGTGTTATACGGTTCTCTCGCTTATTCACTCGGAAGTCGTATTGTAATAATGAACGCTATCCGTCAGATCCAGGCGCTCAATAAGCGCGAACTTGAAAATGCAATGTGCGTGGTACTTTTGCTTGAATGGAATCCGTCCCCCCAAAAGGATTTCCGGCTAACACTCGTTGACTGATGCAGCCCACCTGAAGCGTCCTGGCACGCCGATTACCGAGACACAGCATACATCTACATTGGTGGTCTGCCGTTCGACCTCTCCGAGGGTGACATCGTGACAATCTTCTCGCAGTATGGCGAACCAGTCCACGTGAACCTTGTGCGCGATAAAGAAACTGGGAAGAGCCGAGGATTTGCATTTCTAAAATATGAAGACCAGCGCAGTACAGACCTTGCCGTTGATAACTTAGGTGGATCTACAGTTCTGGGAAGAGTGTTGCGTGTGGACCACGTGAGATATAAGAGAAGAGATGATGAAGAGGAGGGGGATAATGTCGCAAAACTGATGGGCGACGCAGTCGCTAAGAGTGCAGGTGATGGAGATACAGATGATGAGAGACGCAGGCGGAGAAAGAGAAGAACTGGCGAAGATGAGCAGGGAAGACGACCTCTACTGAAGGAAGAGAAGGAGCTTGAGGAATTAATGGTGAACCACGATGAGGAGGACCCGATGAAGGAGTATCTCATACAGGAGAAGAAAGAGGAAGTCGCGCGAGCGCTAGAGAAGCTTAGCCGAGAAAAACCATCCCGCAGACGAGAATCTAGTAGGGAGAGGTCGAGTCGCCATCATCGTCACCGCCACCATCGTCGCCGACATGATGAGGACCGCTCTCGTTCTCGAGAGAGGAGTACTCGGCATCGATGGTCGCGCTCAAGAGAAGAGCGATCCTATAGGAACAGATCACCACCAAGGAAGGAGAGAACCTACAGAGATAGGACACCGGTAGGATCACGATCGCCTCAACCACAGCGGAATCGAGATAGGGAGGACCGACACAGATAAATCTCTAATATGTGGTAATGATTTATATGAAAGGGTAACAGACTTGGTCATAGTCACTACATGGTCACTGGGGCGCACTTGATGAGCCCGCCAGCTCGCCAGATGCTCATCATCTCAACGATGAAAGAATGCACGGATCAGCCGAAGCGTGGGATAAAAGCCACCAATTGAAGTAGACACTCTGACGTCCAATATCTGCCATATGCAGAAAAAGAGCCTGTCAGGTCTCATGCTGCGACGTCGACATCAAGCATTTGCCAGACAAATGGTCGTTTGCTTGTAGCAGGAATGAGTACCATTGCCCCATAAAGATGCGTATAATTAGTACTCTTAATGCTAGACCTCTTTCCCGCAGAATGTTGCGGAGAACCCTACCTCAGCCGCCTCCTAAATATCTTTTCCAGCCTTCCCTCATACAGTAGCGCTTTCCATCGCCGCCTTCACGAAGGACGAACTTCTCCCAGCGTCCATCCCTGCCTGATCCTAGAACGAGAATTGTTTGGTCGTCGGGCCATCCTACCACACCTTTAAGAGGTCTTCCAAATGAGGTCCCAAGTGGTACATAATGAGAACCTGGTGCCGATTCGTCACCAATCTCAAAAGGAGCACTTGCAAAAGAGTAAACATCAGAGAAAACCCTGGGAAGCAGGGGGATTTTCCCTAGGATGCCCCATTTCTGGTTCGTTCCTTCTTCCGATGGTTGGGATGCTAGTGGATTACGATGCGAATGGTTTAGTGGGTGAGGAAGATCAAAGACATGTAATGTGGACTTGTCCGATGTTACGGCCAATAAGTTGTTCGAAGGCGAAATGGCGAGAGAGAATATCACTGCTTGATCGACCCCCCGCCGTAGTTCAGCTATTTTTGAGCAATTGCTGGTGGAGAATACCCGTACCAGAGTCCCCTACGGTAGTCAGTAATAGATCCAGTTTAGAGTAGAGGGGTTCGTGGATGATACCATTTCACTCGCTGTTGCCAGCACCTCTCCATCCGGGCTCAGCGCCATAGCACGTAATGGTGAGCTGTGCGCAGGTATGATACTGACATTCCCTGTTTCAAGCTCAACTAATTGAACTTGCCCGGGAGATCGCCCGGGGAAAGCAAGCAGCTTCTGCCCCAAGCAGGCTAGGCCCATCGGATTATCTGTTGTTTCAAAGACAGACAGCTTTTGCGGGGGGGTTGAGAATGCGAAGATGTGGATGCTGTTCAGTAAAGCGACGACAATTCGTGACTTTGACAAACGGACCCCTAGTACAGAGGTGCGGAATTCTAGAGTAATGACCGCTTTCTGTTTCGCATCATCCCAGATAGCCAGCTATGGATATACGCCATGAGTACACCAAAACTGAATGTCGACGTGCTAGATTCGTGGTAGTGTACCCACCTTGTTTTGGGGAAACTTAGGCTGCCTTCCCCCACCGACGATGGCTAAGTAGTTTGTCTGTCCTAGCATTACCGCGACACCGATGCCTGCATTAAAATCTACAGGGTGCATGAAGTTAGTGGCGTGGAAGGGACTACACGGACCGGACTCGGTATGGAGACCAACGGAGCTTGCATACCTCTTGATACTTTCAGCTCACAAGGGTCGGCATTAAAGACTACAACAGGTTATTCTCTTCTCAGCCTGGTTATTCCCACAAAGTAATCCTGACACGTAGGTAGAAGACCTACCACAAAATCCCGAATCCAGGCCAACAGCAAAACAGCTGTTGTCATTATTAAAGGTCGCGGAAAGGGAGAAGGGCCCCACGGATTCATCAATAACTTGACGGGTATTCATAATGCTATGTTGAACGAAGGGTTATCGAACCGGGAGACTGAATCCGATGTTACCACGGAAAGTATCCAAGTAGATGTTGAGTGCATCCAGGTTGCTTTGTCGCCTCTAAATAGCAGCGGTCACCAACTGAATTATTAACTAGGAACGTTGATGCTTTAACTAGTAGTTGAGGAAGGCATTCGCTGGCTTCGGCAAGATGAGTTGGTCCCCGGATTAGGTATGGGGGAAGCGTTAGGTTAGGTCGTCGATGGCCAGGTCTAGGTTCACGTTACTAAAAGAGTGACTTGTTCCCACCACCACGAGTTCAAATCCCGCCCTGATCGTTTTCTTTTCTTCGCTCCGATTCTTTGCTTCAATCTTCCTGCGTCTCAGACCGAACCCTCTACAGACCATGACCATGCCTCACTGCATGAATGGGACGTTGCCTCTTCCGGCTAAGATTGATTTTAGGTTACATCCTAACTTATCATGGTAATGCCTGGGCTACTGTTCTCTGCCTATATTTGAACGTCATCTCCGAAGATGTCTGTACGTACATCAGCACTTTCCTTGAGGACTGTATGTTCAACTACAGCGTGGGAAGGACTAGATGGTTCCTACCTGGTTAGCAGTCGTGCTATGGACGCGGTACATAGCTAGGGCTCTTGACCGATATGACTATTTCTTGGATTACCACAGGCACGCCTGCTAGACACTCAGGCTGATGAACATCAGTTCTCATGCTCCTAGTAGAGCCATGCAGTGCCAACCTCAATCACTCGCACCCTCCACGAGAGATCGAATAAGCTAAAAATTACTGTTGCCCTAATGGAAAAAGACCTGAGATACTCTGTAAATATCAACGAAAATACAAGAATGACGGTAGTAGCTAGCGCCACCGAGATCATTCTCTAGTATCACCTAGAGTATGAAAAGGATGCTTTTTTGTTTTTACAGATCAATGGATCGTGTTTGAAATCCATATACAAGCATCCTGCCTAAGGTGGTTAACGGCCATTGTACTGTGTATTGTACGATGCGTTTTCAGTACCATTTGGGCCCGCAGCGACCCACGGCGTCTTCCATTGGATGTCCCGAACCCCTGAAAGGGCCATGGACTGGGGAAGAAATGGTCGGATCAAGCAAATAAGGTATGATTTCAACCAGGCACAGGGGCGATTTTGAAAAGGAAAAAAAAAACGAAACAAGATACTGGAGAATGAGATGGGTCCTGACCCCATGCGAAGTTTAGCAAGCTACTAGGTATCCTCATCCATCACAATTGCAATTCTCAATCGAGAGCAATAATTGATGATCCTCATGTCCATATCGGACAGGTAAATTATTGGGTGAACTTGGAGTAGTCAGGTACCAGACTTATCTGTCAATGGTATCTGACAATACAGTACCAGTCCTCTTCTTGAGTGAAGTCCAACCTGGAGAAGCAAACGGTAGATGTGATTGGTCTAGAGGAGCTTACAAAAGGAAAGTGGGGAAACGCTCGCATCAGCAGTTTACGTATCTGTGATACCGTGTATGCAAGAATACACGGTACCATACAGAGAGCAGCCTGAGTGCCTTACTGTACCGGGAGCTAAACTAAACAAACTAAGGGAGACCAACTTTCCCCCTAATGGGCGAAGTAAGGTAACGTCTCTCTTCCTCACACTCCAACTTGTCTGCTGCTCATTCGACCTCAGGAGAGCAGCAATTTATCCCATCCCCCATTCACCTTCTTCTCCCGGTCCTTTCCTTAGCCAAAACCACTTTTTGTGCTTAGCCGCTCGCTTTCTCTTCCTTCAACTTTCTCCTCTTCTTCTTTCTTGTTCCCCCCCCCCTTTTCTCCCCACGTTCTCTCCTTATTTAGCCCACCATGTCGTCGGCTTTCAACGCGGTATGTTACTTGCTTCCCCTTTCCACACTCGCTGCTTAAACAGGTCAACCTTCTACCCCCTCTTGACCTCCATCCAACGTACAATTATCCCTGAATCGGTTCCTCGCTCTTGACACCCCTACCCAATCTACTTCCCATGAGTTACTGATCATGAGTTCAATGCCCTATAAACAGATCAAGCTCCGTCGCAAGAAGAATGTCAAGAAGGGTATCCAGTTCTGTTTGATGGTCTGCGGTGCCAGCGGAACTGGTGCGTATTAGGAATGCCCCATACTCTGCTCTCCTGTGTGGGAATTGACCAATCGCTATTCTGACAGGCCGTACTACCTTCGTCAACACCCTCTGTGGCAAGCAAGTTTTGGAGGGCAAGGATGCCGACGATGCTGCCAATGCTCATGTTGAGGAGGGTGTCCGCATCAAGCCGGTTACGGTCGGTAAGTCGATGTTCGAATCGGCATTGAAAATGATATATGCTAATTGGGCGGCCCGAAGAGCTTGAATTGGATGATGAAGGCACCCGAATCTCTCTCACTATCGTCGACACCCCCGGCTTCGGTGACCAGATTGATAATGAAGCAAGGCATGTGAACGCCGCTAGTGCTAGGTTCGCCGCTCGCAAAACTGACCGTTTTACAGCTTTGGTGAGATTGTTGGATACCTTGAGCGCCAGTACGATGATATCCTTGCCGAAGAATCACGAATCAAGCGAAACCCCCGCTTCAGGGACAACCGTGTCCACGTCCTTTTGTACTTCATCACACCGACTGGCCATGGCCTCCGTGAGCTGGATATCGAATTGATGAAGCGTCTTTCGCCTCGTGTCAACGTCATCCCCGTCATCGGAAAGGCCGACTCCCTCACTCCTGCCGAACTGGCCGAGTCCAAGAAGCTGATCATGGAGGATATCGAGCACTACCGCATCCCTGTCTATAACTTCCCTTACGATATCGAGGAGGATGATGAGGACACCGTGGAGGAGAACGCCGAACTACGTGGACTTATGCCATTTGCCATCGTTGGCTCTGACGACTTCGTGGAAATCGATGGCCGGAAAGTACGGGCCAGGCAATATCCTTGGGGTGTTGTTGAGGTTGAAAACCCTCGCCACTCTGATTTCTTGGCCATCCGAAGTGCTCTTCTTCACAGCCACCTTGCGGATCTGAAGGAGATCACCCATGATTTCCTTTACGAAAACTACCGTACCGAGAAGCTCAGTAAGAGCGTTGACGGTGTCTCTTCGTACGTTATCCATCGCTATCCTTGTGCTTATGTTGCAGGATACTGACCCCTCTAGCAGTGCCCAAGATTCGTCAATGAACCCAGAAGACCTAGCATCCCAGTCCGTTCGCCTGAAGGAAGAACAACTCCGTCGTGAGGAGGAGAAACTCCGCGAGATCGAACTCCGGGTGCAGCGTGAAATTGCTGAAAAGCGCCAGGAATTGTTGGCTCGTGAAAGCCAACTGAGGGAGATCGAGGCTCGTATGGCGCGCGAGTCTAGCAGCCAGGACGTCGCCAATGGTGATGCTTAATTCAAACTTGTCAAAGACTAGTCTTACGTTGCGCGTTTGGCACCGACCGTGTCGACGTAATGGAATTTATGGCGCGGCGGTTGTACTCAATGGGGTTAATATTGATTTTCTTATTCACGTTAATAGCTTCGTTTGAGAGGGAGGGAAGGGAAAATGCAACGCTCCGTTAATTGCGATGGCTGGCGCCATTCTTCCCTTTCCTACAAAGAGGGATTTGGACAAGAGGCGATGAAAACTTTGCTGCAGCTCCCCACCTACTTTTCCGGCTCTCATTGATTTCTTCTATGCCCTCTTCCATTCGGGCGGGGCCTTGTCTCGTTTCGCAGCCCGTGTTTGTGATGCTCGGGGTCAAAGATAGCATCTTTTAATCGTTGACAGTTGTCACTGGAACACCTGCATAACTTCCTTTCCTTTTGCCATCTTATATATTTCTTTTTTTTTTTTTATCTCTTCCCCCCCTTTGTTTCTTTTTGAACTCTTATCATCAATGACACCTGTCCCAATCTCAGCAGCGCAGCAAGATTCCCTCTTTTGTCATTTTATCATTTGTGTTGTGGCTTACGTCTTGTCTCTTATTACTCTATGTCTCCTAGTTGAATAGTAGTGCATGAGGAAGAAAAGTACCTTACAGCTCGTATGGCTGGCGTAGGTCGCATACATTGATTGATGCAAGGTAAGAATGCCAAGGGTCGATGATGGTCTGGACCATACACCAGCTCTGTAACAAAGAGACTTGATAGATTTCAATGTTTTTGATCATTGCCCCCTCCAGTTCGAGTAGCCACAGAGCTGATTACATTTCTATGGCCGCCAAGCTCTTCCTGGAGAAAGGGAGAGAAGAAGAAAAGATAGTAAAGAAGGGGAACAAAGGCAAAGAAAGAGAGAGCCAAGAAAAGGTTCGATGTTAACTAGGTCAGCACCAGCTTTCCTCTCCATTGTAGTTTTGCTATGGGTAACTTGAAAGGTATGAAGGCAACATACACCAGGTTGACATGACCTGGGGAAAGAAACTATACGTGGAATGCAAACAACACGGGCGAAAAAGAAACGATGAAAGAAAACACAATGGACGTACAACTGACAGTAACAATAAACATGTGGTATTTGCGCTTCATTGTACACAGTGGAAAATAGGCAAATGATGATAGATATAAAGGCTGACTTGATACAGATCAAATCAATAACATAGAGGTATTAGAAAGGGAAAAAGGAGAAGATGCGAGAAAAAGCTCATACAGAAGAGCGAAATGCCTAACGAAGCGAGATCGAATGCCTTTCAGAATGGCAAAAGACCGGTCTAAGAACGATCAAAATAAACTTGAAAGAACAAATGCTATCTCTCATTTCGTCCATCTCTGTTCAACTAATGCTGCGGCTTGTTCCAGAAATCCAAACTGGCTACTACGTCTTCGCCTGCTTCGTCTTCGTAGGCGTACAGTATCTAGAGATATATTAGTATAACTACATCGGTAGGAGTTACTCTTGTTCGACGTACCTCTCTTGTAGAGGAATGCAGCATGCGAATGTTCTTCCCCGTCATAATGTGGATCAGCTCGCTCGTGTCAACGTGTCTGATTTCGATGAAATTCGGTTCAAAGGCGAGGATATAGGGAGGTGAGAGTGCGAAGGCATTGGGGTTGCCCTCCCATGAAATCTTCCAGTCCGGACGAGCACGCCAGCCATTGCGATTGACAAAGAATGAGAAATCACTATAGTTGAGAAGGAATTCGCCAGACATTCGTTCAATATGAATGGGCTTGACGTTTTCTTTGCGTGCCACAAAGTCTAACGAAGTATCGGCTTGATCAAGCAGAGACTGTGTCTCGGTCGTCTCGAGGCTAACTACCTCAAAACCACGAGCACAGCCAACGCAAAGCGTCGAACGGAGAAAATGAATCGAAGAGGATTCGGCGGGGATATAATATTCCTAGGAGTGTGGTCAGTATGAAATCAGGTATACTGCGCTGATTGCAAGGAGTATACGGACCTTGAAAGGTTTCAGGGTATCTTGACCACTATGGAACATCTTACTGACAGCCGACTTTTTCTTTCCCTTTGCCAGGTTGTCCATGGGCTCGTATACCTTGATTGTACTTGACAGAGCAGAGGTCTTGACAGAGCAGACCAGATGGCGACCAAGTCCAATACCGGCTTTGAAGAAATTTGCATGACCTTGGATCTTCTTGGGCCTTTTCACTACTGTGTTCTGACCCTCTCCTATTTCAAGCGCTTCCATCGGATAAGAGGACAAGGTTTTGTTCGCCAAGACTAAGAGTAGTTGATACTCTTCCAGAGTGTCTATTTGAGTTACCTGGCTGACGTCCAAGACTCGCCTTGGCTTCGCAGACTTATCCTTTGGCCAACGATCCGAGAGATAAATGCCACTATCTGTACCATACACCAATTTTCTACCACCATCGATGGGGACAAGGCAATTTACCCGGTTGACTGCCGTGAAGAAACTCTCACAGAGCACGGTCTTGTTATAGAAGTTGCTGTTCCGCTCCCTCAACTTTCTTTGCTGTTCCTCCACCAGTTCAATGAATTTCCGTCTTTGCAATGGGGATGTGGCATAGAGAGTTTGTTCGTAACCGCCTTTGCCAAGATGTCTGAAGGTGATAGGAAGTCCATCTTTCGTGTTTGGCGGATTCGCGGCTGTTTTATTCGGGAGTAGACTAGATGATGGTCTTTTGGCGATTCCCGCCCTGGGTATAACCTCATCCATCTGCGCAATGACGAGGAGTTCCAGAGGAATTGGTTTCCGATATACTCGATACTCCTCACGCTTGTTCACAACCTTGATTCTCACCAACAAAACAGCATGGTCAAAAAGATATGCAGTGACCTCGGAGGTGTCAGTCGGTGTCTTTCGGAAAGCCATTTTTGTCAGCATCTGACGGTTCTCCTCCTTAAGTTTCAAGTCGACATAGTCGCCAGGATTGAACGTTAGAGCTCCGTTAAGCTGAACGAGGTTAAAATGGTTCTCAGCTCTTCCGCTCTCGGTGTTGACACGGGACAAGAAATCCTTGATGATCTTGATAGCTTTGGGAATATCTTCTTTGTCGGGATTATCATCCGCTGTGTTTTTCACGACTTGTTCAAGGAGTAGTGGATATCTTGCGAGACGGGTGGTGGGTTTGGTCAAGTATCCATTCAGTTCTAGCTTTCGTGACTCCTTTAGACGCTCAGTCTCTTCCACAAACCTTGCAAAGGCTGGATTAGACGCCTTCTCTTTCTCGAACTCGTACTTTCCGTAGAGCTGATTCGCACCGTATTTGATAAACGGGTCAAACCGTGGAACATGCTGAAGGAATATATCGCCAATTGTTTTCACTACCTGGCTTTCCTTTTGTCTGGCATTGAGAGCTTCAGCCAAGCCACTGTTAACTTTCAAAACCTCCAAGCAGTTTCCAAATACTGTACGAATGAACCTTTCTCGGCCGTGTTCTTGAATGGGCGAGACATTTGTGTTGCCAGCACCGCGCAAAGGCCTCATCCAAAAATCTCGCAGGTACTCCAAATCCTTGACAAAATCGCGTTCCGTGTACATAATTTCGAAGATGATTTCTTGTCGTTTCTTTTCGCGATCATCGATGCTATCGGAGACCTCCTTTGGAACCATGTTAATCCATAATTTCTGATTGTCATTATCGTCATCGTCTCCATGTAAGCTTCCTTTAGACGCAGATGTCCGCAAACCTGGCTGCGGTTTGAGGTTCAGTCGTGCTTGCTGCTCCAGTCTTCTAGGGCACGCAATTGAGTAGCATAAACTGTCGCGAGTACAGGTCGGGGAGTAACACTCAGTCAAAAGGGTGAAAACTCCGTTGACTTCAGGACTGGGCGCTTCCTCTCCCATAGCATCATTAAATTGGTAGAGCTCACCAGGAGAATCTCGAAGACGATGGTCATATGTCACATCGTGGAAAAACTTCTGCGCATCCAGGGCACGCCCAAGAAGAAGAGCTAGGTTTCGATCGTTCGTTTTAATGATATAGCTAATCAAGTCTACCGCATCTGCGCCAGAAAAGGAGTTTTGATATGAAAGTCCGTCCTTTTGACGCTCGGCAAGTACAATCTTCTCGCGGAAGGCATCGGCAACCCGCGAAAGCAAAGCTGGATAGACCAATGGCACCTTGCTTCTACGGGAGTTGCTCGCCGTAAGAGTTGTCTGACTAGTGGCCTTGGAAGGCGTCTGGCTTTGCATACTCATTGTTCGATCTGTCATTACCGTCGAAGCCATCGACATGGAGCGGGATGTCGTCGAACCATCACTTGGTGGCCGTGGCTTGCCATCGACATTATGGGCGGTGGCTGGGTCCATGTCTGATCGAGAAAGCGGCGGTTGGCTAGAGCCCGATGGCTGTCTTCGAGCAGGGATCACTCTCCCTGTGCTTGTGGTATGATTGTAGTCCGGGCGATCAGTCGAATATGAAGTTAATGACATAGCGCGCTCGTTTCCATGCCTCTCCGGCACAACTCGACCTTGTGCGGTCATTGGGGCTGCGGCGTTGTACGGCTGCTGGCGGAAAGCGCTTGCAGATGTATGATTAAAGCTACTAGGTGGTGGTTGATATAGGGGCGGTCCTCCCATTCTTGCCATTGACCTTGATCTGTAAGCATCTGAATTCAGTGCAGGAGGCGGCATTGGCCGGCTGTATCCCTTCGCATCCGGATACTGTGCTCCTGGGCTCGGCCTTGAGTCTAACCGTTGGGGCTGAGGATAAGCGAAGCGTCCAGGGTACGGTCGCGGAGGATTCTGGGAAGATTGAGAAGTCATAGTTGTGGACCCAGGGTACGCTTGATAATATCCGTTCGGGGCACCCGCTGGATGTCCATTCGGCACTTGGCGGTTCGGCGGTGGAGGACCTCTCTGCATCTGGGGATGCGGCACGTGTGAGGACATAGTGTGAGCCCTGTCTTGAGAAAATTGAGGAGTTTGCGAAGTCATTGTCTGAGAGCGGCCAGGTGGTGGTGCCCCACCAAAGATCTCAGAAAAAGCAGCATCTCGTTGGAATGATGAAGGATGTCCGTAAGGCCGGTAGTTCCGGCCTTGATGGCCCCCAAGATCGGCCATGGTTGATTTCCCCTCTTTACCTCTTTGACTCTGATTTCGAAATTTATTCGGATAGACTGGAGGAATAATATGACGACTAGCGATTATACCGGAAGGCTGAGAGAATTCGAGCCCTGATGTAACGAAAGGGTATCGGAACCGGTCGTAGAGAACGTGCAGAGCGTCGCGAGATGATCGTTGGTAATCGTGGAGAAAGGAAGAGGGACAAGGGGAGAAGGAAAAAGAAATGTAGGAACGAGAAAGAGATACTCCACAGACGATAATTTATAATCAAATAAAAGACAAGAATAAAATTCAGTAAGAAATCCCCTAAACACAATTTAGCCCCGAGCGTATCATGCCTCAATGGGGAGGCTTCGGTCCTGAGACGATTTCAAAGCCGTGGAGGAAGGCGTTGACAAGACCGCGTGGTGTGTTAACGATGGAAGTGCGCTACTAAGGAGCCTTGAGCGCAACGGCAAGCCAGGGCCCCCTGTAAGTTCATAGCCTGAGCATCCTCCCTCGGGCTGGTTGATCGAGGCGAGATAAATGAGAGTCCGGACTGAGGGTGACAAGAGAAGGGGCCAGACTAGGTAAAAGTTGGGGGAAGAGGGGAGGAGCGGGGGGTGGAGGGTATTTGAGAAGGGGAGTATGTATGGGAAAGTGGTGAAGAATGGTCCGTCCGTGATGGAAAAGCACGGGGGTTGTTGGGTTGAACAGGCACATGTCAGACTTAACCCGGATAGGCCAGGAGTGTGGCTGTCTGCGGCTGGTACGGTGGCCCGCGCGAGCAACTTGGTACGGACAACATCCGCCCTACCAGACCGGTAGTCTTCCAGTTGATGTTCTTCCGAGCTGTAACGACCCTGGTTCTCAACTGAGTGTCTTCTTCGTCGCGTGCATTCGATTGCATTTCTTTTCATTGAGGCTCACTTCATTTCTCGTCTTGCCTCTTTCCCCTCTCTTCTCTCCGGTTCTTTGTCCTTTCATCATCTCCATTCACCATCGGAACAACCCGATCACCATGGTGGTGGACAGCGAGTTGGCGCCCAAGTTCGCCCCCTTCTTCTCCTTTGTAGGTGAAATGACTTCCGGCGCGATCATCCTTGATACCCTGGGATTTTGCTGACTTCTTGTCTGTAGGCAGGGATAGCTGCAGCTGTGAGTACTCCGTGAACGTGCCTCGACACCTGACTGTACGCTGACGGCCTTTCGAAAGATGATCTTCGGATGTATGTCCACACTTGAGCATTAAATACTAGCGATTATACGGCGAGATTGGGATACTTACACATTTCAAGCAATGGGGGCAGCATATGGAACCGCTAAGTCCGGCATTGGTATCTCGGGAGTGGGAACTTTTAGGTCGGATCTCATCATGAAGGCATGAATGACATTTGCTCCCTAAATATCTAGCGATATGGTTGTTCTGTCTTGCTGACCGCAATAGTCGTTGGTTCCGGTCGTTATGTCTGGTATTATCGCGGTGTACGGCCTTGTCATTGCAGTCCTCATCGCACAGGACATGCAACCACCTCCGCAACAAAGGATGAGCTTATATACGTACGTGCAATTTTGCGAATTGCGTCTCAGTCTGGAAGTAGTATGCTGACGGCACACAAAGTGGGTTCATGCACCTTGCATCAGGGCTGTCGGTTGGCCTCGCAGGCATGGCTGCCGGATACACTATTGGAATTGTTGGAGATGCGGTAAGCAGTCTCGTCACGGCTATACGTACGTCTATATACGTCTAACAACTGTCCAAGGGTGTACGTGCGTACCTGCAGCAATCTCGGGTCTACGTCGGAATGATTCTCATCCTAATTTTCGGCGAAGTTCTTGGTCTCTATGGGTATGTGACTATTGTCATACATGAATATGAATCTGATGCTAACTGTGATAGACTTATCGTGGGCCTGATCCTGAACTCAAAGAGCCACCCTTAAACTGAGTTAAGCATTACATTTTGATATTCCGATATGTTGGCGACTGCACTTGACTGCTTTACCAGCCTCCTTGAACTGCTTTTATACCAAGGGCCCATCCCTTAGGACCATGGGGGTTTTTTTTTTGAGACGACCGCGAAGGCAGCAGCGGTCTGCTCCTCCTTTTGTGGCCACGCTTTGAATGTCCCCCGCGGGTATTCCGGTTAGAACATCATCACCTTTTAGCCTTCGGGAGACTTTCTGTACTAGTATATGCCTGCACGCTTTGGATAACAATGACTACATTGAATATTTTACCTTTTTTAAGTGAATGCAGTTCCTCTGTTTGCTTCTTTCACATAATCAGAGCAAATATGAAAACAAAAGACCGGGACTCGGGACGTGGGTAACAGGGGATGCGACCGACTTACTTCATGGGGGGTTTGACCTCGCGCCCATGCCGCGGGTTTTGCCCCGCCAGTCGGTAGGTAACGTCAGAGTCTCCCGTAGCGCCGCCGACGGAGAAGAACGACCTCACCACAGCTCCTTTCATCCCGCAATCGCCTTAATCTTCGCTATCCCCCACCGCGCCACTTCCGTACCTTCAATACATACCCAATGGAATATTACGATTACATCGCATTCTAGTCTTGGTTTTAGGGAGCATCTCAGTTCCCCAATTGTCATTTAAAGTGCTCCGCTCCTCCCCCCTCCCCCCATCGGGGTATTCGGATTCCTGCGGTTTCCCCGAGACATGATCCTTCCCCATCCCCATGGCTACAGGAACGGTCGACCCTTCGGCCCCTAAGGACGTACAGGGGACCTCGACCCCTCCCGGAGACAGCGATACGGGGTCAAGTAATGTTCACGAGAAAGAAAAACAGATGGTGGCTGCTATTCGCCCGCCGCACCAACGACATCGGAGTCCTTTCGTCATCACCGAGCGGCCGGAGGAAAAACAACTAGGCGTGTCTACCCGCACCTTGACAGTTGATGACTTTGCACTTCTGAAAACCCTCGGGACTGGTAAGACTCATTGCTGGATCTGGGCGGGCATGGTCAGTGACTAACAGTAAGACTGTTGTTAACACAAGGCACTTTCGCTCGGGTATGGCTAGTGAGATTGAAGGACGAGATACGACAGAGAGATAAAGTGTATGCACTCAAAATACTACGAAAGGCGGATGGTGAGACTACCTGGACGTGCACGTCTGCATTCTGCGGGCTAACTTGGTGGGCTAGTGATCAAATTGAAGCAGGTTGAACATGTGCGCAATGAGCGCAAGACTCTCTCGGCGGTTGCCGGCCACCCTTTCATAACGACGCTGATAGCCTCCTTTTCCGACGACCAAAGTCTATACATGTTGGTACGGGCCCCAGGCACTTTCATTTTTGCCCCCTCTGTTTTGACACCGCCTCGTTGCCGATCCGCCAACGTGTGCCTTGAGGAGCAATAGTGACGATCTAACGTATATTTAGTTGGACTATTGCCCTGGCGGTGAGATATTTAGCTACCTACGGCGCGCGCGCCGGTTCAACGAAAACACCGCTAAGTTCTATGCGGCCGAGATAACTCTTACTATCGAATTCCTTCACGATGTAGAGGGGATTGTTTATCGCGACCTGAAACCTGAAAATATACTTCTGGATGCCGAGGGCCACATCAGGCTTGTCGACTTCGGCTTTGCAAAGAAAGTCGAGAATCGGGAGACTTATACCCTTTGCGGCACGCCAGAGTACCTGGCCCCTGAGGTAATTCATAATAGTGGCCATGGCCTTGCAGTTGACTGGTGGGCCCTGGGTATTCTCATTTACGAGTTTATCGTGGGGCAACCGCCTTTCTGGGACCAGAATCCCATGCGTATATACGAACAGATCGTCGAAGGCCGCATACGCTTTCCTCAAAATATGTCACCAGCGGCCCAGAATATCATATCCTTACTTTGCAAGACCAATCCGACGGAGCGCCTAGGGTATATATCTGGAGGGTCTGCCAGGGTCAAGTCACATCCATTCTTTGGAGACATACAATGGGATGATTTGTTTTACCGCCGTATCAAAGGGCCCATCATCCCGAGGGTCGACCACCCTGCAGACACCGGTAACTTCGAAGAGTACCCCGATCCGGATGTGAGAAGTCAGAATGTTTATACCGATGATCTGAGGAAAAAGTACGAGGCTTTGTTTAGCGACTTCTAAACACGGTACCCGAACAGACTCAAATATCCAACTGAACAAACACCCTTCTGTGAACGTACTGCCGTCACGCGATCAGGTTGATTCCATCCAACCGGACCACCCCATCGGAGACGACTGAAGCATCCGGATTGATAACGGAGACTTAAGACCCTTGTTTAAAAGCCAGGGCCATTGCCTACATACGAACGATGTTCAGTTCGGTCCGTAATACCCCCGCCTCATTCTTGGTAATCAACTATCTTCGCAAGGGAGGCCGCCGGTACGTTCGTGGTCGCCCGTAGCCTCTCAACGACATGCTTGGAAGTTCCTGCAGTTCAGCCAATGCCTCTTGTTTTCCCGCTGTCCATTGCAAGCGTACCTCTGTCGACTACCTTCTGTGGCCTTTCCGGAGCTGCTACTAATACGTTGTAGCGGTGATCATCAGTGACCCAAATGGTCCTCGACAGTTCTGTCATGAAGATATGATTATTACTACCACTACTTCTTCTACTATTATTATTATCTTTTTTCGCTATTAAACTCTCTTTGGTGCTCGTGGACTTGTTTGTTATTCACATATACATATGATGTACTATCTTTGAATCATCAGCTTCACCGTTTCCACAATAGCTGGACATTATACTATTTGATTACCTGTGGTTTCCCTCGACGCCGTCCAGGATGCCTTGCATTTGCAACACGCTCAGCTAGTGTACGGTGTCAATCGGTGTCTACATGAAGAGACGATGACATAGACTTCATCGAGGACTTCTGCGGTTTGCGTCCGCCATTCTGTCTATGAAAAGGACATATAGTACATTTGGATGAGATCGATTATATTATATACTTAATACAGTTCTTCTATACGCTCAGACCTGCCTGACCATTCCGAATCAATTACATACAATTTCCCGAGCCGCACAAACGCTCGTTTCACAGATGGACAGCATTAAATTTCGTTAAAATCTATATATATCTATACAAAAAAAAAAAATTCTAGATCACGTATCAAGAACGAAGAAACAGATAGCGGGATTAGATGGGTTAGTCAATCGGTTCGCAAGTATTAGCTAGAGGACGGGGGTGCTTTTGGTGGGCGGGATTCCCGACTGATAGAGGGTATCTGGATTACTTCCATGATGGAAGCAGAGTACTCGGGCTCTGGATTCCTGAGGGTGAAATGTGTCGGTCAGCTGCATCGGAGTGGCAGCTGTTGATCACAAGACATGGCTCGTTTATAACGTCATTCATACTGTCGTTCACGTGATGGTAGTGGGATCGTCCATTAACATCGAGTCGAGCGGACTTTCGTGAGTAGAGTAGGGGTGAAAGAGCCGACATGTGAGCTTGCTCTCGCTGTCGATAGCTCATCAGAGCCAAGATGATAAGTCTTGAATCTCCGGAGTAAGTTGGGTGAGTGGTAGGTGGCAGCTTCTTATAATGATGGGTCTGTTTTCCATGTTCCTGGTCACGATCGTTAGTATTGGTACCAGAACCAGGGATGAGAGCGGAGTTACCTTCAAAGTCGTGCCTGACGAAGGCCATTTCATCATCGTAATCGCCTGCACCCATTTGCATAACGCCGGGGCTGAAGCTCGTAATGGGTAGAACCACCACGTCGCCGACCTTTCTCCAGTCTTTTTGGTTTGTGAAATCCTCGTAGGTGATGTTGTGGTTCGAATCGGGTTCGATGTTGAAGTAATCTGGGTCGTTGAAATATCGGAAGATGGCGTCTGTCCACGCGCCCGGTCCGGTGAACTCCACGATGGTCTTATCCATCTTGCCGACCTTGAGGATCCCGGCCTTCTTCATGCGCAATGTTTCTTCCGTGATGTAGGCCACGATGTCGCGGAGGATCGGATGGCCCGGTTTGGATTGAATGGTCCATTGACAGAATTGGATTCTCCGTGAATACCAGTCATGCCAATCTGGACGGTCGGGATCCGCCTCGATACCGACCACGAACCCGATCGTGGACAGGTCGTAGGTCGCGGGCAGCCAATCGGCAGCCGGCTTCAAAGCGCTGGTGTCGATGTCGCTATAGATTCCGCCGCGGGCCAGCAGGATCAAGTACCTGAAGAAGTCGGCTTTCAGAACGGGCAACGGCAAGGACTCATAGGCTTCAAACACATCCGGAAGCGAGCTATATAGGTATTTGATGAGGTAACCCTGGGTGTCGTCCGGAACCACCTGATGGACGAAGCCGGGGTGGAGCTCAGTCCAGCTTGCCTCCGCGCCGCGCAGCTCTTGGCCGAACCACACTGAGTCGGGGGTATATTTCCATGTCTGCCAGATGTATGCGGGGAATTTCTTATCAAGATCGTAAGGGAAATGGTAGCGTAACCGTTCGCGCAAGGGTGCGCTCGGGGAGGGTTTGAGGGGCTGTTGTATAGCGTCTTTCTTCTGCCCTGGCGAGTGCTCCTCCGTTACTTCATTGGTGTTGTGGATGCCCTCCTCGGGAACGTATACGGGTGCAGGGGATGGCGAGGGGGAGGAAGTCGAATGGGAGGATCTTAGAAGGACGACGAAGGTGATCAGGCAGAGGGCCGCAATGAGCGACTTTCGGTATGTGAGCATGATGGGTGTCGAAGATGGCTGGTGCGAATTGATCGACAGGGGATTGCAATTCACTTGCACGTAGGCAAACTCCGCCGACGATCAATGAATGCCAGTGGATTCGGTATGGATATGGATCTCAGTTTGCGTCCCACTCAATGGTTATTGAAATCGCGCATATCGGCACTTTGTTGTAATTTAGATAAATAGACAAACGAACACCGAGGTACAAGAATTCAATCAACTGCGAACAATGGTTTTGTCGCAGCGGTTACACTGTTGGCACGATGAGCTTCGGCTGCTGCGGCGAGTTGATTGTTTGTAGGAGACACTATTCCTGCAGTGTGGAAATGATGAAGGACCAGCAAAGAAAGAGAGACCAAGAAAATAAGATATAGACCAGCAAGAGCGGTAGTGACCAGGAGATACCGGGAAAAAAAAAAGTTAGGGCGGAGGCTACTGGGGTGGAGCTAATGACGACGGCGCTTTGGTGGCGTAAGACTCCGCGTCGACGGTAGATGGCGGATGTGTAGAACTTGTACGGTGTACGGAGTACTGCGCATGTAAGACGGATGCTGACCTCGTCGACTGGGGCTGGTGAGTTTCCAGGGGGAAGTGTCACCGGGCGTTATTTAAAATAAATTCACAAGGAAACCGGGCACAAAAAACAAAAAGAGTTAATGTCACGGAGATTGAATTTGAGGAATTGTGGAGATCGTTTCGTGCAACGCTGGCCATCAACTTCTTTTTCTTCCTTCTTTTCCGCAATGGGAGATGATCAGCTCAGGCCTTTTTGCAGTTCGTCATGACGCGATGGGCTGATGCATCCTTGGAACCGAGAAGCCACGACCTCGAGCTAGGCTTCTGTAAATAGTACCGAATCCCTGACTTGCATAAGATCGGATGGCGCTCAGGCGGCCGTTTGCGGTCTCTCCAGAACAATCGCACCGGCGAGGAAACTTCTGCGAACCATCTAGACCCTCGGATACCGTGTTACGTTTTGCTGTTCCTCCTGAAACATAGGGGAACTGTTCCTCCAGAACGGTCTCCGCGCCAGATAGCCGGGGTCGATAACCCACCAGAATCGCGCATGCATGGCTCACGGACATGTAATATATTGGAGACCTGAGGGAAGGATTCCGACGCACGTTATTGGGCGGCGGCAGGTAAAGTTGTCAACTGCATCCACGATCCTAGTCAAGCCGCGTCATTAGCATTTGGTCTCATTCCGACAGATCTGCAGGTAAGGCTTGGCCCCACGATGCTTGACGGCCTGGTGATTGGTCCTGTATACATCCGTAGGAAGGACTAATGCGACCTCTGCCCGGGAGCCACGTTCACCTCTGAGCTGTACCGATGCTGGTGATATATTGAAGATGGTTTCCATACTGACCAACGGGTGCTCTCAATAGTCACCATACCACATATCCCAGATAAGAGGATCCAGGGGTTTGAGGTTGGATCGTCCTGTTTCATTCCGACTCCGAGACGGCAACCTGTCTTCACCCATCCTCCCTTGGGTCGGGAGGGCATCCAGAAGCGCCAAGCTTCCTTCCCAAGGAAGTATACGTGGAAAGTAGCATCGAACAGATCTTTCCTTGGGCTGATCTTCCATATATACCCTGCGATTCGGATCTCCGGCGGAGGGATACAAGGATTCGCGCTGTACGGGAGATATAAGGGGTATCATGTACGAAGATCATGCTTGGGTGTACCTTACAGGGCTTGGCTACGCTTCAATCCAATCAATTCAATTCAATTCAATTCAATTCTGGAGCGACTTTGCTTCCTTACACTTCGTAGACAATCTGCTCATGAAGGATGAAATGTCAGGTAAATTCCTCTCCTACACGTGCTTCAGTTGCGGGAGTCCCACCTTCTTGCCCAATGCGGACGGTTAGCGGTGGAGTGTTGTTGCAACTGCTTCAACCTCCATCTCGACGTCCCCCGTGCCAATGTCACTGTCCCTGAGGTGATTCCAGACCACAACTGGTACACCAATCCCATCTCGTTTAATTATAGCCGTACCATTCTCCCGCCAAGGTCGACTACCACCTCAGTGAACCAAGAAAGTGGGAAAAGACTGTCGCTGTGAAATGGATGCTATCTCGCCGGGGGAGCACTGCATTTATGGAAAGCGAAGCAGGGAAGATATAAGCCTTCTACAAAAATTGACACCAATCTTTCTAGCAGACCAGTGAGTACCAAGAGGCATAGTTGTTCGTTTCTCCAAGGATGGTGATCAACTTCTGTTCACATTCTCAAAAACGAGCAACACAACCTCTTGTCGCGCTCTTCATTTCTACTCGCGCAGTCTATGCCCGCTTCCTGGTTCTTTCAGTTGCTTCAGCTGACTGTGACTGGATGATATCTGGAAAGTATTTACCTCCCTAACCACTTCTTGACGCTGCAGTGATCAGTTGTCGACATCTCGATATAGTAAGCCGCCAGCCAATGACAACACGAGTAGATGACGCCATGAGCTTTCCCGCGGCCTCGCAGCTGTCGGCGCCTCAGGCATCACCAATGCCTGCGTAATCGGCGATCAAATATAATGAAGAACACCGACTTCTCGACCGCAAATTTCCCGTTGGACAGCTCCTGCTGTAATAATATCTCATTCGCATCGTGTAGTTTGCTCAACAATGGGATCTATACACGGTGTGGCGCGCTCAGCGCGGAGTCTCTCGGCTTTGCTCAGACAGGATACCATCTCGACTCGGAATCGATTAGCAGCAGTATGCTCGTCCACACAATACCCAGCGACCCGTAGGCCGTTACACAACGGTCGTCCACGGAATTCCCAGTCCGCCGCCGCAAGTGCCAGTTCCTCCAACCCAGCTCTATCATTTCCTTGTCTTGACGCCCAGGATGCGAAGTCCGCCCTCCTCTCCGCACGGTCTCTCGAGTCGGGTCCCGAGCCGTCATACACGACCGGCAACCATGAACAGTTCCGTTGCAAAGATCCATTGCTGCTTGACTGGGGTGGCGTCCTACCAGAATTTGATATCGCATACGAAACATGGGGCCAATTGAATGCTGACAAGAGCAACGCCATCCTACTACACACCGGTCTGTCGGCCTCGAGTCACGCCCATAGCACCGACGCCAATTCCAAGCCCGGATGGTGGGAGAAATTTATCGGCCCCGGCAAGCCATTAGACACAAACAAGCACTTCGTCATCTGTACAAATGTCATCGGAGGCTGCTACGGCAGCACCGGACCGTCGTCCATCGACCCATCCGATGGAAAGAGATACGCCACCCGATTCCCCATCTTGACGATAGACGACATGGTCCGCGCACAATTCCGTCTCTTGGACTCGCTGGGCATCCAGAAGTTGTACGCCTCCGTCGGCTCCAGCATGGGCGGCATGCAGAGTCTCGCCGCCGGAGTGCTCTTCCCCGAGCGGGTCGACAAGATCGTCAGCATCAGCGGCTGCGCCCGAAGCCACCCATATAGCATCGCCATGCGACACACACAGCGTCAGGTCCTCATGATGGATCCGAAGTGGGCCCGCGGGTTCTACTACGACTCCATCCCGCCCCATTCAGGCATGAAGCTCGCGCGAGAAATCGCGACAGTCACCTACCGAAGCGGGCCGGAATGGGAGAAGCGGTTTGGCCGCAAGCGCGCAGACCCCAGCAAGCAGCCTGCGCTGTGTCCCGATTTCCTCATCGAGACGTACCTCGACCACGCGGGCGAGAAGTTCTGTTTGGAGTACGACCCCAACAGTCTGCTCTATGTCTCGAAGGCCATGGACTTGTTTGATCTGGGACAGGCACACCAAACGGAGACGAAGAAAAGACGGGCCGAGTACGAAGCGAATATCGCGGAGGGAGGCAAGACTGTCGACGCCAGTAACATCGCCTGCAGCCTCACGCTCCCGGAGAAGCCGTACGAAGAACAGCCGTCGGTGACCGCGTCTACGCCCGCGATGGACCAGGCCGTTGCTGGAGGTGCGGATGCGCCGCCACAAGATCTCGTCGCTGGGCTGGCGCCTCTGAAGAACCATCCCGTTCTGGTCATGGGTGTCGCCAGCGATATTCTCTTCCCGGCTTGGCAGCAGCGTGAAATCGCAGAGACGCTTCGGGCTGGTGGAAACGAGAAGGTCCAGCACATCGAACTGGGCGAGGACGTGTCGATGTTCGGACACGATACGTTCCTGCTTGACTTGAAGAACATTGGTGGTGCAGTAGAGAAGTTCTTGCGCTGATATCAATAGTCTCTATTCTAGCGATAATGAGTTCATCACTTGTCTATATTGGTGATTGTATAAATGTAAACTTTTAATGGATGAAATTCTACACCTGGATGATAATGATATGCTATTATGATGACAATGTAATCGCCTTTTCTACGTGAATGATTATCAATTACTGTCCTTGTATGCCCAAATTTGATCCATGCCTCCTGAACTTATACTCTTAGGCAATGATGGCAATAATGGCAATGGTTGATTTGAATTTTTCGTAATCTATGGGGGTACCGCCGATCCCATCCAAATGTAAAGCCAAAATCCCAATCCAATATACGATATCAACAAGAAATGCTCAAGGGTATCTCAGACATGAACAAACCAACAACAACGCCAAAAGAAAAACCAAGAAAACCTACATAAAGAGCGTCATTCCTTGCCCAACAAAGCCTGTCTCCGTTCCCTATACCAACGCTCCAGACACGCCCGCCTCTGCGCCTGCGTCATGCTCTCCACGACAAGAGCAAACTCCGTAGCGTTAGGAAACCCGAACCGCTTGGCCATGCTACAGAACTGTCTCTTCATCACATCGTGAGGAGGATGATACTTGAAGCGGATGGGGCGACCATCTTTCAGAAGATGAGGGGTAGGCGCTGCATTTGATCCGTCTTGAGAATCTCCAAAGACCTGGACATCGTTACTGGAGCCCTCGCTGGCTAGTTCTGCGCGTCTGCTGAGACGTTCTTCGATCTTCGAGGAGCCGATGACCTCGTTGTTGAGGTGGGTATATTCTACACCGGCACCGGCGAGGATGGCCTGAATAGGATCGTGGCGCTTGGGGATGGGGGATTGTTGGGCGCCTTTGGCGTCGTCGGACTCGCCGCGGATCATGGCGGCGAGTTGGCTCATGACCTCGTCATCAGTGGTTTTGGAGTCTTCGTGGGGTTGGGATTCGTCCACATCAATGTCCATGACCTGGACGCCGGCTCGGCTTTCGGCGACGTTGGTTTTGTTGACGATTTCGCGGAGGACGATGTTGTTGTTCTGGTACTCGAAGAGATTGCTTAGTCCGAAGATTTCACCCTTCTGGTCTTTCTTTTCTTGGACACCCTTGAAATAGCGCCGTTCGGAACTTGCGTTGTAGCCAATATTTGCTTGTTGCTGCTTGTAAATCTGACGCGCGTAGACGATCTCTTCGATGGTGCCAGCGGAGATTAGTCGGAATACCTCTACATCGCGGACCTGGCCGATTCGGTATGCTCTGTCCTGCGCTTGGAGGTCGTATGATGGGTTCCAATTGGGGTCGACGACGACCACTTTGTTTGCGGATGTGATGTTTAAACCCACACCACCGGCACGGGTGGAGATCAAGAAGACGAATTGCCGGGGGTCGGAGTTGAACTCGTCAACGGCTGTTGCACGCTCGTCATAACTCATCGAACCGTCCAGGTAACTGACATTGTAACTTGTGTGGTGAAACAGCATTTGCAACATCCTCAGCAGTCGGACGCTGTGAGAGAAGACTAATACCTTGTCTCCGTTGGAATGCCACCACTTGAGGAGTCGGCGGAGAACCTTCCATTTACCGCAGAACTCAGGGTTGGCGTAGTTGACGATGGAGTCTCTTGTTCGATAGAGCTGTTCCCACTTATCAGGAGAGGCAATTTCTAGCCAGTCCCTATCCTTGTCCTGCTTTTCCTTGGAATCCACTCCCTGCGGTATCAGAATCGCAAGATGATTGCTGAGTTTTTGTATAACATTCATTGCGGGAAACACGTAGTTTTGCCATCGGAGTCCTGATCGTAGATACTGCTGACAGCACCAGCCGGCCTTCTTTCTTGAACCACAAGAACACATCTCAGAAGATTCCTTGATGTACCGGATAATTTCACTGTCCAATAGGTTCTCGTAGGCGTCTGCCTGCGTTTCTGTTAACGGGCAAAAGACAACTCGGTCGATCTTCTTAGGAAGCTGATCTGCTATCAGACTTTTCATTCGTCGGAGAAAGAACTGAGGAAGGAGGTTCTCGACCAGCTTCTTGGCAGTCCTGCGAGCTTTACTCAGTTGGTGTAGTGTAGCATCGTGCGACTGCCCTATCTTCAGAGGGTCGGAGATGGTCTTTTTCCAGGTTGTAACTGGGCCCAATTTCCCGGGGTTCGTCCAGTTCAGTAGCGTCCAGAGTTCTTCGTATTTGTTTTGGATGGCTGTACCAGTTAGTCCAATTCGGCAAAGTGCGTTGACTGAGTTCATGGCCTTGGTAGTCTCGGAAGTTCGCTCCTTGATGATGTGGCATTCGTCCGCTACCACGCAATCCCAGTCCACCATGTTCACAGCATCCTTATTTTGAAGGTAGGTACCGTAAGTGGTGATGAGAATCTCAACTCGTCCGGACCTCGCTGCTTGAAGAGCAAGCTCCTTGTTATCCCCATGGTAGGTATCGACATGCCACCAGCCCCAGCGTGTGAGTTCCGACATCCAGTTCTTGATCAAGGTACCTGGGCATACTATCAATGTTCGTGGGTACCATTGGTCTTTCCCACTTCGCCTCATCTTCCTCATCCTCTTGGCGTCTCTCTCATCGCCAGTCTTGCCATACGCCGCGGTAAGGAATGCAATCACTTGCACTGTTTTCCCCAGGCCCATATCGTCACCAAGGATGCCACCTTTCTGATAGACAAAGAGTTCGTGTAAGAAAGCGGCTCCATCCACCTGGTACTGTCTTAGCCACTGCGCGATGGGAGCAGGGACTAACCCTAGAGAGTAAGGGAGCGTGATGTCTTTGTACGCATTGCACGGTTTAATATTCGTAAAGGCCGGTTTCTCTTGTAGAAATTCCAAGCGCTCATCATCGGAGAACTCAATATCTTCGTAGCCCGGGGGTAACTTCAGCCCTGACTCCTTGAGGTGTTCAGCCCTACGGTCAAACTGCTGTCGTCGCTTCTGCAAATAGTCCGGGAGCGTATACTCCATCAACTCATCTTCGGAAGGCAGTTCATCTCCATACTCTCTCCAGGGCCGCCTTGGCGTGGGTCTTCCACCCTGTCTTGGACGCCTTCCTACAAACGACTCGGGGGTGGCCATTTTGGGCGTTTTGGTCTTGCGAGCACTCAAGGAGGTACGCTTTCGCTTGAGGGACTTTCGGTTTTTGAATGCCTGATAGGCAGCCTCGCCATCGTTGAAAGTCGTATCATCGCTGTCGGTTTGCGCTTCCAAGTCTACTATGGCAATAGAGTTGTTGAGAGGCGAAGACAGTTCTTCGACTGGGGTTTCAGATCTCGGTGTAGGGCGGGGCGTCACTTCTGAATTGGATGTTGTACCTGGAAATTGGAGGATATTAGCTTCACCTTAGCTTTAGTATCGTAGTAGATGCGGAGAAACGTACGAGTGAGGGCAGCCTTGGATGGCCTCGCTGGCCTTGAGACGTCCAGATCGTCATCATCAGAACTGGCAGTTGTCGCGTCTGAATTTTCCAACTCCCAGCCAGATCCCATGTTCTTCTCGGCAAGCTCAGTCCACTGGTTCACTCGGTGTTGTAGAAGGTGAATGTCAGAGACGCGCGCGGGCGGCAACGAAGGCGGAGGATCTATATTACCCGATCGGGAAAGGAGCTCAATTCTTTCAAATTGATTTTGTCGCCGATCCAATTCCCCGCCGTCGTTATCGTCTCGTTTACTTCAAAATCCACCATTGTGCATTCCACTCCGGACAAGACGAGGACGTATCTTTTGGGCTTCTCGGGTATACATTTTCTAATCCAATTCCTTAACCAACTTGTGACTACACGGCCGCTTCTTCGCCCGCGCTCCGAAGAATAAGTACTAGATTAGTACCGAATTCCAGACATATACGGTTGTTAGAAAGCCTTGAACCGACAAAAAAGTAGACGGCTCACCCCTCAATATGCCTCTCGATACATCGACCACGTACCCTCTTACCAAACTGCGCCTCGATGGCCGCCGGTGGAACGAGCTTCGTCTTCTCCAAGCGCAGATCTCCACCAACCCGGCCAGTTCTGGGTCGTCTTATCTGGCCATGGGAAATACAACTATTATGTGCTCCGTTCACGGTCCTGCGGAAGGGCGCCGTGGAGATGCAACCGGTGGTGCAGCAGGTTCTTCGGGAGCAGTGGTAGAAGTCGATGTGAACGTCGCTGGATTCGCGGGAGTTGATCGCAAGAGGAGAGCGGGAGGAAGCGACAAGTATACCGACCAGCGCGATTGATACTCTTACTCATAAAGTCTGCTAACCTGTCTTTACCAGGCAATCTTCGCGCATCGCAACTACTCTACGGGCTGCTTTCCAGTCTCATCTTCACACCTACCTTTATCCGCACAGTACTATCAGCATCCATGTTTCAGTACTATCCGCCGATGGCTCTCTGCTTGCCGCTGCTATCAACGCCTGCACCCTGGCCCTTGTAGATGCAGGTATCCCCATGCCAGGCTTACTCTGTGGCTGCACAGCCGGGATGAGTGGAAGTGCCTCTACCCCTCGTGATCCTCGCAACGACGAACTGGACCCGCTTCTGGATCTGTCTTTGCCGGAGGAGCAGGAGCTCCCGTTCCTCACAGTGGGCACTACAACCTCTGCGCCGGTGGGTGAGAATGCGATGGACGACGACGAGGAAGACATGAAAGTGTCCATGTTGAACATGGACTCGAAAGTACATTGCACGTATGTCGAGACGATGCTTGCCGTTGGGATTGATGGCTGTAATCAGATTCGAGAGATCTTGGAGGGAGTCATCAAAGGGTCCAACCAGTTACGGTAGCCATGTGTAGGTGATCGTGATGTTTTCCATGTGAATCTTTCTGTGTCTATCCAAAAGCATGATGTCTATTTATACCCAAATGGTGCACTTTCGCGGTGTTGGGGCGTGTTTGGTTGGTTTTTCCACATAGGATTTCTCTTCTTTGGCTCAATTTTCTTGTTTACCAAAACAAACCACAAACCTAGAAAATCCTTCTGTCGACCTTTTAATCTGGATAAGACGCGATGAGTAAGAAGAAGGCGGATGGCCAGCCGCTAAATCGCTTAGCAGCACAAAATCTGCTCAATTCCACGCGCAACATGGCCTTCTGATTGGCCACCGCCAGCAGTATACCATGCGATGTTGACCCATACTCAACTCACTCACTGCAGCGTTGGCCCATTTTCTTGGCTGCCCAAGACCTCAATGAGGCCATTCGAGCACGAAAGGCGTCCTGTAACATGGCGGATCCCAATTGAAAGAAAATCCTTCCCTATGACTCCAGTGTTGATACCCTTCCAAAATGGCGCTGCCATGCCGTCTGATAAAGGATCCATTTCCTTTCTCTTCCCGGCTCTCTTTTGTTCTCTCTTCGTATTTCCAATCCTCAAGTCAAGTCCAGTTTGTTTGCTCAGCGCTACCGTGCCTGGCTGCTAAATACTGCCCGCGAAGTGACTGATTTCTTCAGTCCCGGAATCTTTTCCTTCTCAAATCCTACGCCCTGGAATAGTATAAACCAACATGGTAGCCCACGGAGACATGATGATGGACATGGCCATGGCCACAGCAACATCCACAGGAGCCATGAGCTCGAGCACCGCGTCACACTCAATGGACATGGGAGGTATGCACGGTGGCGGGTCAAACAGCTGCAAGATCTCAGTACGTAAACCTGCACTCAACCCCATCAAGAGGAAGAATTAACAATGAAACCCAGATGTTATGGAACTGGACCGTCAAAGACGCCTGTAAGGACTCCTCCACGAAGAAAAAAAGAAGCCCTAACCACCCAACAAAACCATCCAACCCAAAGAAAAAAAAAAAAAAAGCCACACCCACTAACCCAAACCAAAAAGGCTTCCTCTCCAAACAATGGCACATTACCTCCAATGGCATGTTCGCCGGCTCCTGCATAGGCGTCATTCTCCTAGTGATCTGTCTCGAGTTCCTCCGTCGCGTCGGCCGCGAATACGATGCCTTCATTCTCCGTCGCGCCCGTCTCAGAGCCCAGTATCTCACGGTCCAATCTCAGTCATCAACCCCAGCCGCAGCCTCAGACGCAGAAGATGTCGCCACGGCCACAAAAGCCTCCTCATCCGCTCAGCCTTCCGCGGTAAAGGCACCCAATTGTCCGGCCGCGGAGGTCCCTGTCCGACCGACCCTCGTCGAACAGCTGGTGCGCGCCCTCATGCACATGCTGCAGTTTGCTGTGGCGTATTTCATCATGCTGCTGGCGATGTACTTCAACGGGTACATTATCATTTGCATCTTTATTGGAGCGTTCCTGGGATCGTTTTTGTTTACTTGGGAGCCGTTGCAGCTGGGAAAGGAGTATGTTGTCCTTCTCCCTTCTTTCTTTCTTTCTTTCTTTGTGTCCTTTATTACCCCGTTTCACATTCTCCTCTTTATATGACTTGGTGGAATGTACGCTGATGATATCTACAGGAATGATGCCCTTGCCGTGACGAAATGCTGTGGATGATCTAGTTGTGGTGCGAAGAAAAGCTGACTGTTGAATGTCGTTCTGCCTTCTGATACCCATTTACCTACAAACAAACATATTCAATGTATATCGATGCCAATAACAGACTTATCTTTTTTTGACATGTCTATTAAGTATGTCTTGGTGTCAATGGCACGATTGGGTCTACGGCTCTTCATAAGACCCCTGTTTTGCTTTGATGTAGCTTGGGTGAATTGGATCCATGTAGTAATTACTGAGCCCCAATGTATGTAAATAGAGTGAGTCGTTCTCAGTGCTGTACTTGTCGGAATTGTCTTTCGCTTCCTTTGGATAAGTCTGTAGGAGTACACTAGGCGATATCCAAGTTGGGTTTAATGCTTAAGTCTGGATGTTCATGAGAGCCTGGGAAGAATTCGAGACGTCCTGGTTACATAACATATAGAACGGTTGAGTGACTTAGGGCTGCAGCGGACAAGAGATAAATACGGTTACGAGGGAGATGTTATGTCATGACCCCCCACCATGCGAGCGGGGTTCCCTTTCGCTTCTACTTACTTGGGCTCTACCAGGCAACCGGATTTTTTTTACATACTTGTATACTAGCAATACCCACCACTGGTTGCTCCGTAAGTTTGAATGGAGGGGAAAGAATACGAAATGGAGGTGATGGAGTTCGGCAATATGTCAATAGACACTCTAGATTACACCACGCAAGGAAAACAAGAGGCCACCGTTACCTCGAAGCTCGCTCAAAGGAAGGGGCAAAAAAGCCACAGGCCGTTTTCAATCCATCCCGTCAGGTCAGTCGTTCGAGGTCAGCATTTTTCCTTCCACAAATTGGCTTTCGTATCGTCCCCCGCTTGACGCATTTACAGCTCACCACAGTTAATGATGGTGGGCTTGACAGCAGAGCGGAGAGCACCAGTGTTGCTGCCAAGAGCTTCAATCTCCTTGACAACGTTCATGGACTCCGCATCGGCAACCTCACCGAAGACGACGTGCTTGCCATCGAGCCAGGAGGTCACAACGGTGGTGATGAAGAACTGGGAGCCGTTGCTATATGGGGTTTAGTGACTACCTTAAAGCTAGTGGGTTTGAGTTGAAGATGACTTACGTGTTGGGGCCAGCGTTGGCCATGGAAAGAAGACCGGGCTTGTTGTGCTTGTGGATGAAGTTCTCATCGGGGAACTTCTCACCGTAGATCGAACGACCACCAGTGCCCTGTGTCAACCGTTAATTAGCATCCATGCCAAACCGGGACAGACGAGGCGGCAAAAAGAGTGTGTACTTACGTTGCCACGGGTGAAGTCACCACCCTGGAGCATGAACTGGGGGATGACACGGTGGAAGCTAGAGCCCTTGTAACCCTGACCCTCCGGAGCCTTGCAAAGCTCACGGAAGTTTTTAGCGGTCTTGGGGACATCGCCCTCGAAGAGGTTGAAGTTGATGCGACCAGTCTTGGCTATAGACAGTGATGGCCATTGTCAGTAAGCGGTGAGTATTAGAGGGAATGGGAGAGAGGAATTGAGGGTGAAAGAACGCATTCTTCTGAGTTTGAGGTATCGCAAATGCTGACGATGCCAGATGGGAGAGGGGTAATTTCGAGTGTCCCACAAGACATCACAACAGCAGCGAAGGAGGGACAGCGGAGAGACTTACGGGCGCTGGAGCCCACAGGGGCGTACTGAACTTCGAAGAAGGCCTTGGTGATTTGAGACATGGTTGCGGTTGTTTGATGAAACTGACGAAGAGAGAGGAAAGAAGATTGATTGCAATTGAAGAGAGGACGAGAAGCGAAGGACGAGCAAAGTGGGGTTGTTGTTGACCTCAGGCTTCGGGAGAACATTGTTGCTGGAGGGGCACAAGCGGGACAACACGGACAAGGAAATTCTGCGGGGCCCAGAAACCAACCCCTCCGTTAGCCGACACGTGCCAAACATGCAATTGAGTCCGGTATGGTGGCCTCAGGCCGCCATCTGGTTGGTTGGCCTCTCCCTTAGCCTGGGGGTGGACTTTGGGCTAAGCAATTGGAAAGGAACAACATTGGATGGAAGCAACCAGACCCAATTTATCTCACCGGCACTTTAGGCAATCATGTTTACTTACAGATTAGATATATAAGGCAAATTGCGATAAATTAACCCGGACGAGTTGCAGGCTGATGCGTGGTTGCGTGGAAAGCAATGGAACCAGAGTGGTCAAAGGAAAAATGTCCAGGCAAAGAAAGCTCCAGGAAGCTCTGGATTATATAATCCCCAACTGCAGGCTTCGAGAACTTCCAAGACTCCAATGGAAAAAACTTCGGCCCGGGAGAAACGACTCAGAGCTAAGCTAGGATAGCTACTCGTCCGTTGAGATCACGTGAATAGACCGACGTACCGGAGTACATACCGCTACTCCGTCCAGTACAACCTGTATGTCACTCGACCGTAACACTCTCAGTCCCACACACTTAACGGATATCTTGAAAAGCATGGATCTATTCCCACCCAGTGGGCTGCTACAATGGTATATCCCACAAAATAATGAGAGTGGAACAAACTTGCTTGCTATGATATTGCTATAGTCGAAACCCCTCAGACAACACTTATGCTATCTGGAAACAAATGAGTAAAAAGAGGAAACAGGAGGAAGAAAAGGATAAAAATAGCGAAAATCAGAAGACGTTGAGGAAGCCAAAGCGCTAATCGAATAATAATAATAATAATGGCACAGAACCTTAGTGAGCCAGTGGTACATAATGAACACAGAAGGGTAGAACGAAGGTGAAACTAAAGTAAAATAAAAATAAAGTACAAAATTCCATATAGCATTAAGAGAAAGAGAAAAAAAAAGGTCATAAATACCACCCAGTTCAACACTCATTTCACATGGTTGCTCGTGGTCATGCATGATAACTGCAAGAAAGAAACCGCAAAATCAACAGCTGTGGCGGCCTGTCAATTCAAGATAATGCACGCAGCTTGATTGGGCTGCTGCGGATGAAGCGAAGAAATAGATAGAAGGATGAAAAGGAAAAGAAGAAGGAACAAGTAGAGCAATAAGAGGAAGACGGTTGAACAGGAAGGAAGTGCTACAGCATGGCAAAACCAAGCTAAAAGGGTGCACGACTAGCGGAAGTCATCCTCGGATTCCTCTTGGTCCACCGGATCTAGCCGTTGAACCAGCTCCTTCGTCTCCCTTGCGATCTCAAAGGCTATAGGAGGGAGTTTGTTTGTAGCGTCCCGAACCTGTTCGGCGCTGGTAGCTTCCTCGCCCTCGGTTGCTGTCCCCATCAAACGGGTCCTATGCTGGTCTAGTTTCTCGATGATTGGCCCAGTGCGCTGTCGAAGCGCCGGGTTAGCTTCCGGTTTATGGATGAAATGCTCCGTAGATGAGGAGACATTGGTTACAATGGAGGAGATAGCAGAAATGTGGGTGCGTATAGTAGTCAGGCCATCCTCGGCACGGATACTGGCAACAAGAGCTTGAATTGATTGAACCAGTCCTTCTGTCTGGTCTTCGACGTAAAGCTACAAGCAATATTAGGCATTGCACTGTGAATAAAATAACCGGAGGTGTACTGACCTTGAGTTCCTGGAGCTCGTGATCTCCAGACGGTCCGGGGTAGCTGACCTTTGTCGCTGCCGTCATTCCATTGGCAGCATGAGACTCCGTAGGGTTACGGGAGTGATTAGATGGAGGACTCATAGCGCTGTAGATAGACCCATTGTTACTGAACCTGCCCTGGCTCGGCGCAACACTAAAGTAGTCGGGGGATTTCATGTGAGCCAGCTGTTCCTCATCGTCCTCATTAAGATCGCCTGCTGGTGAAGGTTGGATCTTGACAAGGCGGATCAGATCGACAACAGCGGTTGATAGATGCGATGCAGCGGCATCCAGAAGAGAGACTGGCGAGAGACCGCATGAGCTAGCAAAGTTCTTCGATGCAGTTATCAGATTATTCGCTGTCGCAGAGACTTTCCGAGTAGCCTTTGTGCGGGAAGCTGACAAGCCATCTTCGCGATCGGAAGCCACCTCGACGTCATGAAGAACATGACGTACGGCGATGACAACTGCTTTGATTTGCTGCATTACTAGATTGTAATCGTCGAATCGTGCAATTCGAAGCAGTTCATCGATGGAAATCTGGAATTTTGTCACATGAACATCCTTAACAAGACCGTTTTCTTGCAGAAATGCGTTATCTTTCGCGATCGCGTTGACATCTGAACGGAGTTCTATGCCCGTTGAGGAAGCTCGCAGGTGTCGCAGCTGGGTCTTCGCCTTGGCATACCGGCTCTTCCACTGCTTCACCTCCTCTTCTAGTCTGTGAACCTCACTGGACAGCCGCTCTTCGTGTTCCCATCTCGAGTGGCTCTGTTCTGATAAAGCCTTCATTTCCATGAGAAAGCCAGCCGCTTCTCGCCTGACTTCCTCCGTCACTTGCTGTTGTTCCTGAAGTTCGGCCTGCAAGCCTTTGTGCTTGACTTCAAGGTCAGCAAATCGAGCTTGCAGTTCAGCATCACCAGCACCCTCTCGGGATGCGCCATCAACTTGGCTTCGCAGCTCTCTTTCCATAGCATCGTGCTCCGTCCGAACTTTATCCAGCTCCGTCTGCAATGAACTATTAAGATCCTCCACCTTGGAGATCTTGCTTTCCAGATCTAATTTAAGATCCTCCCATTCCTGACGTTCAGACTCACCAACTTGGGCTCTCTCGTGCCCTTCCTGGTATTTGGACAGCTCCTCATCTCTGGCCTTTAGTAGGCTCTCCAGCTCATCCACCTTTGTCTGATCCCCATGATGCTTAGAAAGCTCCTCATCCTTTGATTTTAATAACTCCTCGAGCTTGTTCACCTTCTCTTGGAGCACTGACACCTGGGACTGTGTGTCCGCCAACAGCTTTCGTTCACCCTCTCCCAGGGTCGTCGTAGTTCCTCTCCTGCTTTGCAGAACCGCATCCAAGGCGAAAGCATCACTTCGTGCATCATAATCATCGTCTACACCAGCCATGTCATCGTCATCCTCCACCATAGTGCTTTTATTGGGCACAATCGTGTTGCTCTGGAACGACTTGGCCGTGGGGCCGTGGTCACCATTGATAGATGGCGGCCCGCCTAGAGATCCTTGCCGGGGAGGAAACACGCCACTCATAGGGCTGCCGGGAGGACCTCCTGATGGGTACCCCCTCCGCGGCGGGCCTCGAGATTGCGAGCGAGGTGGAGGGTATGCCCCGGGACCATATCCATTCGGTGGGGGATAACCATTCGATGGGCGTCCACGAAAACTAGGAGCTGGGCTCGCTCTGCGTGATTCTTTCTCCGGGAATTGGGGGAACCGTCGCTCCAACTCAGTGTAGACATCCGTGGCCAGATCTCGAAAGCGGACATGTTGGAGCGACGCTAACTTCTGGCGAGCCTGGTTGCGCTTTTCGTGGAAATCTTGTCGGGGCGGTAAAAAGGGAGGTATATCGGGACGAGGAGGCCGTCCAGGAGAAGGCATGGCCTGTTGCCGTCGAAGTAGCTCGTCGTACACGTCAGTGCTCAATTCATGGAACTGGGTCGCCGATAATCTCAGTAGCTTGTCCCTAGCTTTGCTTGGCCTCCCATTCCGATCCTCTCGATAAGGTGCGCTAAGAAACCTCCTCAAGACAACATAATGCTTTCCTAGGATCTCTTCCATCTGGCGGTATCGCTTACTACGTTGATCCGACAATGTACCATCACTCGACCGCGCCGCCACAGAGGTCGGTGACGGCGGGTTTCCCGAGTCGCTCATCCGTTCTGACAAGGTCCCATTTGGTAACCCAGCGCCATTTGGCCCATTAGCAGCACCTGAGGTCGGAGGTGTGGCTAGGTTACCGCGACTCGACAAAGTTGGCGAGAATGGCCCTTCCGACTTCTGGTATTGATTGATCCCTGACCAGTCACTACCGTCCACTGAGACAGGCGACATAGTCCCTGAATGACCATTCATTGAGGGTCACAATGACGGCAGTCGCGTCGCTCCAAAGCCGCTCGCTCGGGGCAACCCTTCACCTCCTCAGTGTAGTGGTCCTCCAAATATACATTCGAGATCTCGAGGGGTTGCGATCACAAGAGGACAATAGGCAGAGTCGAAAGGCGAAAAAAAAAGGATAATTTAATTTGTGGCTGACGGTATCGGGGAGGACTCTACGACTGTCCGGAGAATAACAGCGAATGGTTGGATAATGTGAAAATCAATGGACAATGCAACAAAAAAGTTAAGGACAGTGCGTAGACAGACGGAATTAATGGCAGAATAGCAGACATATAACAGAATCCCAGACGCACACAGCTGGATAGAACAAAAGAATATATCAAATAAAATAGACTTAAAGAAAAGAAAAGGACAAGGTTAAGGGCACGAATGTAGCCAAGTCAACAGCCACAGGAGCAAAGTCCAACGTCCCGGAGTCCAAAGGAGTGGAGGACCGATGGGGACTGGGGACGGGCGGAAGAAGGGAGAGAACGAGACAACATTGAAAAGGATATGATCGTAGTAATTTACAGTAAGTACAGACCGAGCATGAGGTTCAGGGATGCGGCACGGTGTGTATGCTATCTTACTGTATTGTGGTAGGCCTTAGGTATGTACTGTACGTATTGATATCCATCGTTGTCGCAGGATGATTACTATGTCCACAAAAGGGAATGCAAAAGAAGGGATGAATCTCGAGTACCTATGTAAATGTACTGCGGTCCTTAGAACTACCTAGTAGATAGGAATTATTTAACACATATGCGAGGTATGCATACGTATCCCTGCTTCCAAGATAAGCCTTACATAAGACTGTATTATCAACCACATCCGTACGTACAGTACGGTGCAGTACAAGTATGT